GTTGACGTGAAAACGTGGATGTCATCGTTTGCTTGCTTCTTCTTTAGTGGCGTCTGTTGTAACTGCTGCTGCTGTTGCTGCTGCCGCTGCTGTTGTTGTTGATGATACTTTTGAGAATATTTCTGCTGCTGAATGTCGTAAGGAAGTCGTTGCTGCTGCGGCGATTGCTTCGACTGATGTTGTCTTCTGTGCTGCTTGAAGTTTTGCTGCTGCTGTTGTTGCGTTTCAGAAAGTTTGTGCTTTTGAAATTGTTGATTGTAATGTTGAATGTAATCTGTGAACTTATTGGCGGCTGTGAATGATTCCACTTCCTGATTTGAAATTGAATGGTTTTTTTTTATTATATTCTAGCAGCTACTGATATTCGAATACATCACACTCATAAATGGGAGTATAATTTGAGAAGCAAGGCTGATCAGCAGAACAAATGAGCGAATAAAACTAAAACATGATCCCAAACAATCATCATCTTCATCGTGCCCACCAATTTCATAATCACTGCTGCACTCCTCCAACACAAATCCACTCGTAGAAATCTTTCACCATCCATCATTAAACATTGAAGAGATCAACAAACCCCCGTCCTCATCATTAACTCATTATTTTGAACATCCTGTCTTCATTAATTAATTCATCAATTCACCCATCAAAAATCCGCCCATCAATTCATAAACTCATTAATTCATAATTGCATTCATTGCTTCATTTACTCATTAATTCATTAACGCACTCACTCACTCACTCATTTATTTATTCACTCACTCTCATACTATCCAACCTTGACGAATTGTTTTTCCCAAAGTCGTAGAACCTCAGAAGCAATTGTCCTGTTCAACTGAAGGTTCTTCATTTTTAAGGTCTTCTCGTGCGTGTCCAGCAGATATCCATCGCTCATCACGTACACCATCGTCTGGAAGGCCTTTATACTGAATAGTAGTTTAGAGCTTATAGTGAGTGATGCCGGCAGCGCGGAGAATTCATCAACTTTGAACGACATTTCCAGTTTCATTTTGTTGAAAAAATCACCAGAAACAGTAAGAAGTCAGTTTCGATATAAAACTTATATCTTAAAAAAATGATATGAACAGTGGACAACAAATGAATGAATGAACCATAACTAATGAAAGCAAACACTCTCAACAACGAATTCACGAACATACATTAAAATTAAAACACTCACACAAAGAGATAGAGAGATAAAGCAAGAGAGAGAGAGAGAGAGAGAGAGAGAAAGAGAGAAAGAGAGAGAGAGAGAGAGAGAGAGAACGAGAGCGACATAAACTGAAAGGAAGAGGCGGCATACCCGGTACAAGTAAATAGCGTGAAATTGCAGGCAATTAAATTTTGGATTTGCACGCACCAGATGATCTGAAGAGAACGTGAACCACACACATGTACTGTACATACATCATCACATCACACATGCAAGCAAACAACAATCTTACAAAGTATAAACTCATAAAACAAACATTCATTCTCATGTGCAACATATAACACACGTTATGTATATTGTATATTCCGAAGAGAGAGAGAAAGAGAGAAAAAGAGAAGGAGAGAGAGAACCAGCCATCAACCACCTTATTGACATAATATGGTGTTAAAAATCCACTACTTCATTACCTCATAAAAAGTTGATTTTGAGAGTTTGAGAATAACTGGCTCATTTTTTTGCTATTTTTTAGTTTAGAAGATTAAAATATCTACCGTGCAGACCCAGACGTGTATTGTAGTTGAAATTTATTAGCGTAGAAGAACAAAATGTAGAAACTTGTTCGCATTTGTGCGTTTGTGTGCGTGCGTGTGGTGTGTGTGCAGTTATTTGCCCACCATCTTTGCACACCAAGTTAATACGAACTCATGAATACCCGTAATAAATAAAATAAATAAACGGGTAACAAAAATATCTTAGATTGCCCAGCAAACTATATCTAAATTGGTGACAAATGTAACCCACTAAATGACTTTTTTCCTATTTCTACTTCAAATGTTAAAATTTAGTAAAAATTGTTATTTACACACACTGCCCCATAAAATTAACGTTGACTACTTTTTACATAACAATTGTAAGAATTTAATTCTTTTAACTAATCCTCTCAAGAGAATCCTCACTCCAACGGGCATCCATTTACTTACATACCTCTTTATCAATGATAAAAATATAATAATTTTTATGTTTTAGACTGTTTTGAGACTTTTCTGCTCCTTCGGTTTACTCATATTTGTAAAAAAATACTGATGTTTAGTATTGATTGAATGGTTCAATAATTTGTTTTCTTAATTTCAAAGCCATTTAAAAAACAAAGTTTGATAGAAAAATAAGTTAACATGGATCTTTATCATTCACCATCAATTACAGGCTATAAAGATTTGGAGCACGGACAAAGAAATGCTTTCCTCTTAATAATATTGCTGTTAGCTTAACAAAAACTTCAAAAGGATAAAATCTGTTTCAAAATGTTTTCACTGTGGTCTAATATTTTAAAGTGATATGAACAATCGTAAAAACATCATAGTAATTAAACATTACATATTTTAAACTTAAAAAAAAGTAGAAGTCATTTTTTAAATGATTCCAAACCTTTATCATTATTCATAATTGAGTGAATGTGGATGCAACAGTACGAATGAACTAAACTAGAGATTAAGGAGCAACGAATGAACAGCGAACTAACGAACAAGAGTATAAACGAACAACGAACCAAACAACAAAAACAAACGAATGAACTAAAGAACAAGCAAGAGCAAACCAACAAACACATTCCACAACAACAGGGGAATGAAATTTCATCAAGCTGGGCCACCAAGTTGAAACCATTTGAAGATTTCGTATCATGTTACTTCCCATTGGATAGCACAATTTATTTAACACATCTATATGAACTATATACATACATGCATACATATATATACTATACATAATAACTTATATACACATACATCCCCGCAAGAGAGCGTTGCATTGCATTAAAAACATACTTAACAAACTTATAATAATAGTGTAAATATATATTGTTTAACGAGAATGTTGTGAAAATAAAAATTTATTTCGAAAAAACTTTTTCCCTTAAAATTTTAATTGAATTAAGCTACAAAAATAATTTCTCCAGCGGAGTAATTTATATCAAACTTTGGTGGTGTCAAGTGAAGGATAGGAGGAGTAGTACAGAGCTGATGTCAATGATGGGACTGAATGAGGACATTGTGACATTGATAAGGAGATCGAGATTGCGGTGGTATGGACATGTGTTGAGAAGGGATGAAAGGGTCGGGATTAGGCGAGCGTTGGAGTTCGAGGTTGAAGGAGTGGTAGGAAGGGGTCGTCCCCGATTGGGATGGAGAGAGCAGGTGGAGAAGGACAGGGTGAAAGCGGGGTTGCGTGATACTGAGGCGAGTGACAGATGTGGATGGAGTCGAGGGGTATTTCGGTTTCATCATAGGTAGCCAAACGGCAACCCCCGATCTCGGGGAAAATGCCGTCTAAACGTGTGTGTTGTTTTGTTGGTGTCAAGTGGTAAACATGAATGAATTCAAGATGTTGTTATTACAAATCAACAGAGTATTACAGAGCCACAAAACTTATGAAATGCTCAACTGCAACAGTTGAAATGCTCAACTGCAACAGTTAAGAAATCATTTTAATGCTACTTTTAAAACGTTTAAATTTTACAAGAGATAACAAAGATTGATTCATTACGCTCCATCGGCGTAATACATGGAGATAAAATTTTAGAATGTAGAAATCCTTGTGTGACTAATGACCTTGAATGGGAATAAATCATGGACCACACGCGTTGATTGCAAATTTGCAGAAATAAAGAAAGAAAAAAGGAAGTGAAGTGAAAGAAGGTAATTACACACAAACGCATGCACGAACGCACACAGACGCACGCACACTCATAAACACGTACAGACACGCACAACACAGCGCACATACATGCATGCAGGTCTCTCTGTTGAGTGTATATGCATCAAACTTCGCATCGTATGAGCAAGATATAACTAAGCACAGAATAATAATACGAAAAAGAATAATAAGAAAGAATGTTTACACCCCATACAACGCAGAATGACTGAAGAAATGATTGATTGAGGGAATGAATGAACGGATAAAGAAATGAATGAGCAAACGTCTGACTGACTGAGAATGTGAATGTAAATAAATACATTCAAAGCTTACACTCAAGTAGAAGTTTAATGAAAGAATTAATGATCAATGTATGCACGAACGTATTTATGGCCTAACAAAGACCACCCAACTTAACCAAACAATACAAAGTAAAAGTGGATGGATAATATGAACAACATAAATAACAGCCTTTTATGAACATGGCTTATAATTGCAACGTAACATAGTAATAATAAAATACTGGCAACTAACAACAAAGATTTAGCAACTAATTGTGATAATCGGCAGAAAGCCATAAGAATTGTATATTATTGTGCGCTAATAAATTAATAAAATTGAAAAAATAATTATTTGTAAGTCTGTGCTATGTTCGTTTGAATAAATGAATGTATTTGTACACCAGGATGAAATTGAAAATCATATTGTTTCAAATTTTTTAAATACCAAAAAATAGTATAATAGTCCAGGCCTCACAAAAAAATCTGACATACATGAAATTGTCATAAGCAGAATGTCTTGAATTAGTTTGATTGAAGAAACCTGCAGACTTTATAATTTATCCGAAATTGCATTATGATTACCAGAAGAAAATAGAATACATAATGTTCGAAGTAACCGCGAGGTACCATATTATGTTACATGTTTTGTTAAAGCCCCTACCTACCCAGGGCATCTTTTTATATCGTGCCTAATAATAGAAGCGGGAGTGTACAAATTCACTGAACGTGAAAATTGAAAAAAAAAATGAATGAATGGATGAAAGTTGTGAGCATAAAATGGCTTTGCTGTATGAAGTAGAGTAGTGTGATTGTTAAAATTATGTAGGTAGGTAGGTAGATCATTGCAGAAGAGTAGAGTATCAAGAGATAAGAAATTATCTAAGAGAGTTGTATTGGCTGTGTGTGTACATGTGTGTATGTATTTATGTATGTATGCATGTATATAAGTATGTATATAGGTATGTATATAGGAATGTATGTATGTACGTGCGCATAGATGTATGCATTCATGCATGTGCCTACATATTTATTTACATACGAAATAGAATTACAATTCAATGTAAATTAAAATAAGAATAGGCGGTAGAAACAATATAACAATATATATATATATATATATATATATATATATATATATATATAAAGAATTATATATTATTGTAGTATATATATATATACATATATACTATATTGTAGTATATATATATACATATATATATATACATACATATATGTACATATACAAGAACATGTAATGAATGAAAGATGACTAGTTAAACTTTCAATCACTTTGTTTATCTTATAAACGCCTTTATATTTATATGTATATTGGAAAATTTTTAAAAGAATAATATTTTAAAAAGATGAAACAAATACACATAAACATGAAATCACACGGTAATGCATGCATGTACGTACAAGCATAAAAATGTGGGCGCATCGTGCGATGTTCTTAAACATCAAACAAAGCAACTACAATAAAAATAAAACTTTGCGTCTGTCTAAGTCTGCCGTTCTGTTTTAATGAGAATAATAAAAGATAGAGTGGAATAATAAATAAAAATAACTGGAGCAAACCTGGTGAGATGTTGGGTGTCGTTCCACGTCACACCTCCTAACAAGAAATTCACATTCCAGCGCATATACTTGCTGCTGATCCCCGAACAACCGCTCGACAGTAACGACATCACATCCGGTAGCTTCGAGGTTCATTGTTAAAATGAAGGTCGAGGTATTACAAATTAAAGGAGTGAAGATTCAAAATATTTCAGAATGAAGTATTGAATAAAGATTGTTGTAATATTTGTTCAAATAAAATGAAATGTAAAAAAGAGACTGCTGTAACGAAAAGAATGAAACTAAAAAGGGTACCTCTACTTTGAAATACAAATAAACAGAGAAATGAAAGAAAGAATCAAAAAAGTTAGAAACACAAAGAAACCTTTTTGCTGGCATAATTGGGTGCAGTGGTGGGACACTCCTCATCGAAAGGATTCAAGCAGGGTTTCTCCTGGTAGCCAGATGTTACTCCTGCCTGTATGGTTTGAGGTGTTAGGTGTTGAAATGCAGTGCTTCAATGAAAATTAACAGTTAAAAATATGGAGAAACATTTAATAAACTAGAGCTACCTTATCCATCAGCTCTTTGAAGTACTTGGCGCTGAGCGAGGAGAATGTTCGCAGGCCATTTACCAACATTCTGGGGTTCAAGTTGGTCCATTTGAACTCTATGGAACCAAAATTTCTAAAAGAGAGAGATCAATAAAACATTATATACTAACTATTAACAAGGATTAACAATATTAAAAACATTGAACAAAAAACTTTTTAAAATTAAGTGGAACAAACTTGCAAAGACGTTACTTTTAATAGCAAAATGACACTAACAGATCTCTTCTTGACGTAAAATAAAATATTCTCAGTTGCGTAACGCAACGGAACACGTTGTATTCAAAGCATAATTGAAAACACTTGAATCTATGTATATGGCTAACATTGTTGCCAGATTATAAACATTAATAGCAACTGACTCTTCCAATTAATTGCCAGGCTAATAACATGACCGCTAATACTTGAACATTACACAAAAAGCTGAAATAAATTACTAACGGTATTTTGACAGGATCCTGAGGTCCCAGAAGTTTGCTGCCCTCCCAGAAGCAATCCAGCGGAGTGACAATCACACAAGTCTGCAAGCCATCCAGTATCTGAACACAAATGGTTTCAACTCATTTTTTATCCAAATTCTTCATTTTCTTTCATCATTGCACTTTTTATAGCGTTAATTTGCTTCATATTATAACAGATGATCAGTAATGATTTTATATTCTCATCCAAATTATCCTAACAGTTGGCAGTTTAAAATTAGGAGAATAATAAACATCTGACACTCAATTTTCAACAAAGCAGAAGATTAATAATAATTAAGAGTTTAAATACATTTAAACTCAGAGAACATGAAAAAAATTTGGTTTTGAACGGTGTGAGCATGTATATGTTAGCATAGTAGCTCAAGCAGAGTATAATGATAAAGAGTTGAAGAGCAAAAGTTGTTCACGTGTAGATATGTACCCGGTGAACAACATTTGATATGAAGATCATCAATATTATTAACAAAGTAATTTGAATGCTCAAAAATGTGCAGTACAACTGCAATTATAGAGAACCAAAAAACAAATCTGCCATTAAATAAAGTGCTAACATTTGAAAAAACATCACTTTAATCATTGTTATTGCATCTAATTATAATTGGAGAGGCCTTCACTTCTTCATCATCATCATCACCATCGTTGTCATAATTTTTGTCACCATGCACAAAACAATAGTAATAGTGATAATAAAAATAAAATTATTGAGTTTCTTTATATTATTACAAATGATTTTATTACTATAAAATCAATGCAGATCAACGATATTGTCAGGTCTGGATGCAAATGAAGTTACAGGGCTAAGAAATAAGACATTGATTTACAATAAAAAAGCGTTTAGTTTTTATTCAAGGGCAAATTAGTTTATTATAAGATAATTCATAAATGTTTCTTGGTGGTATGTTTCCTTTGCATAATTGATACATTCCAATAAAATATAACAAAAAATCCTGAGAGTATAAAAATGTGAACAAAAATACGTGCGCCACGGTAGGTAGATGTAGTAGTAGTAAGTAAGTAAGTACTGCAGGATTCTAAATCCTTAAAAAATGCCTAAATGTAAACATAAACAGACCTATATGCGAAAACTGTTGGCAGTATGTTAAGCGCCTATATGCATGCATATACATACTTCGATACATACATATTGTATGAAGAACCGTTGGGAGTTAGTAAACATTACACAGAAGCATTCAGCATAACATGTTATGCACATTCAAAAAATGTTTATGCTGTTATGTGCACGTGTGTGTGTGTGCATGTGTGTGTGTATATGTGTGTGGTGTCTGCTGCACATAAATTATATTTATTTATCTTTATAAGTTGCATATCTGATTTGATTATATGATTATTATTATCATCTGAATGGAGTTAGTCATTGAAAAGGCTCTCCTCAAAATGAAATAAATCTCTAAACTCTAAACTCAAATTAGACGTTAAATTATTTATTTTATTAACAACTACCACAATTAAACAATAACAAACAAACAAGAACAACTACTACTATTATCAACAGTAATTAATAATAATTAGCATAATATATATCTTATTGAATAAAAGATTATTAATAAAATGATATACGCTAATTACACTGTTAATACCTCTTTAATAGCTATTTGCCAAGCATCAAAGATTAAAATAAGAGTAATAGTAGTAGAAATAGTAGTATTAATAGTGGTAGCGGAAGTAGCAGCAACAGCAGCCGCAGTAGTAGTGGTAGTAGTAGTAATGGTGGTAGTAGTAGTAGTAGTAGTGGCAGTAGTAGTAGCAGCAGAAGTAGTAGTAGCAGTAGTAATGTTAATAATAATAATAATAATAATACATAAAGAAAAGAGCAGATATCAAAGATTGAATGCAGTTGACAAACAGACAGGTTGTCAGGCTAAGATGGATTATTATAATTTCAGAACAATTAATTCTCATTTAACTTAGCAAAGTCAAGTTTAAAAAAAGTTTACCATAGAAACAAAAATCAAAAATAAATCATAAATTGTGTATATAAAAAAAAGAGAGCCCTTATAAGGCCATTTTTACTAGAAGAGCAAAAGAAAAACAAATTTTAAATGGGCAATACCAACCTTATCTATTTCGTGATCATCATCTACATTTGGGAACCTTTGCGCATGACACATGTCGTAGAAATTCCACTTTCTAATTAAAAAAGTATGGGGGTAGAATTAAATCTCATTAAATTGGAAAAAAAATTAACCCAACATCCATAATTAAGTTAAAAACATGTTTGACGTATACAACAAATCAACAACTTAAAATTTTAAGGTAAAACAAACATCTAAGAATGAACAATTCATCAGCACTATAATCAAACCAAACAATTGTCAGGAAATGCAAAAAATAGCAATACGATACAATGCAAAACAATTCAATGCAATACAATACAATAATAATATCTTATAAAATACAACACGAAACATTCCGATACAATGCAATTCATGCAATAAAATACAATACAACAGCTACGGTGTCACAGCAACTAAACCACATACATGTTGTTAACGTTGACGAAAGCAGATGTAGCAGCTTTCATGACATCCAAGTGATAGAGCAGCCTCTGCACCATCCTGACATTGGCAGGACTGCCTCCACACCCTTCCAAGCCACAGACATTTTGCCCATCATCATCCTCACTGTCGTCATAGTCATCGTCTTCCTCATCACCATAGTCATCGGGCAAGGTTTGCATCACAACTTCACTCAATATTGCTCTCTCGTTGTCCAGTATGGAATCTGTATACTCTGTTTCTCTAGCCAGGCGACTTCCAACTGCATTTAAAAAATTCTTTCGACATTTTAAAAATGTAATTTACACTGAAAATGGTAGCCAAAATATACCCAACATCAACATCAAAATTTGGATTAGTTTTTAAAAATAAATAAGTAAATATTGAAATTACAAAAATAAACTCCAACCATCAATCCACAATTTATCCATATGAGTTTCCATTTTGATGTACCGCAACCCCAGACAGCATAAGAGCAAAAGAATTAACCCAAACAATGTCGACTTAATGATGTTTCTTTGCAAAAAATTTCCTAACTTGAATGAAGTTTTTTGTATAGCTGATCTAACCTTTAAAGTTCTTTTTTTGCCGGTAGCTTTATTCTGTGAAAAAAATCCAAAATGTGAAATATTTTTATTTTTGTCATTACACTATCATTTGACAATTTTTAAGTGATTTATTAATATTTAATTTATTTATTGATAAACTTTAAGCTGCTAACCTTTTTGGCAAATTCATATGCAAGCCTGGCATCAACATAACTAGTTTGGATCTGGTAATCACTGAAATATATGCATTTCTGCAGATGAAGATCAAGACTGCCATCATTAACTGAGCTTGCTACTTCCTTCATATCTTCCTCACCATCTTCACCATCACCTCTACACGCCCAAGAAACTTTGGCAGTCTGCAAGGAAATGGCCATCTTCACTGTTTTTTTGTTACCATGGCTGTCTACTTGCTACCAGCAGCAAATGCTCCTTCATTCTTTTTTTTTATCCGAAATAATAAATCAAAATATGATGACATGTACTTCAGATTGAGATAAAATTAATAATTAATTACAGTATTTTACATTTATTAATTTAAATTTTATTATTTGTTTTTATATTGATCAATCTGGCATATCGTTTTATTAATTAAAATTAAATACTAAGCTAACTATTTTAATTTTAAATACTAAACTAAAGTCTAAAGCAAACAAAAAATTATGTGCTGTCAATCTTTTCTCTCTAGTCTTTCTCTTTATCAATTAACTACTCAACAATTCAAGGTTCAACTTTCTAACAAGTCAAGTTCAATTCAAGAATTTAATTAAATTAAAATTAAAAAACTACTACATTTTTTTATAAATTGATTTTTTCTGAATTTATATTAACAAATATATCCAAGAAACGTGGACAAAATATTTCACTTTTGTATATTCCGGCACTTTTCTTAACTCGATCTTTCAAACTTTATTTGTAACAAGAATGAAGTTAGACCGTTCTTTATAAACAATTGCTTCAAACGTTAGTGAATGCAACGACAACTCACACAAGCAACCAGTTCTATGTGAGCTAAAGGCATGAAAGTGCTTTATTTGATATATTTGTATATACATATATATATATATATGTGTATATATATATACATAAATACATATATATAATTAGTTTAAAAAGCGAATTTTGCAAACAGATGGGCCTTGAAATTAGCTCTGAACTTTGTAAGTGATGGAGAAGAAGTCAGGGAAGGAGGTAGAGAGTTCCAGAGAAAAGGGCCAGAAAAAGCAAATGCAAATTTAGTGTTTAACGTTAGTTAAAAAAGTGAGAATAAGGAGATCGTAAATCGGGGCGTTTAAGTTCAATTAGTATTTAGTAAATAATTTAGATTGAGACTTACTTTATAAGCACGAGTAACTAGCCAAAGAGCAGAGTTAAAAGCTTTACTTAAACAATAAAGTGTAAAATCAGAAAGACCATAGTAGATCGAATTACAATAATCAATCCTAGATAAAACTAAAAAAGTAACAAAAAGGAAAAGAGTAGGAATATCAAGAAAAGTCAAAAGTTTTTTATTCAACGTAGATAAAAGTAAGAACTTCTAGTAACACTATTAATCTGAAAAAAAGAAACATGCTAAAATCAAAGATAAAGCCTATACTACGAAATTTAAAAGATACATCAAGGGTTTTAAAATCAAGTAAGATAACAGAAGAAATAGTAATAGAGCGTTTAGATTTATTAAAACAAATAAATTCAAATATAGAAAAATTGAATTTAAGACACATATAGTCAGACCAAGCGATAATTGAAGGAAGACATAGACTACGAAGAACACTATTGAGATTAGAATGAAGAAAAGAAGTATAAAAATAAGAATTACAGCATTCAAAATTCAAAATTCTATTTATTTAAAATCCAAAAACACAAAATGAAAAAAAAATTGTGCAGATTTAAGAAGATCACATAAAATTAACAAAACTTGTAAAGACCACCGTGAATACAATAATCAATTTAAAAATAAGAACACACATATATACAAAAGTTGATCAATTCACTAGAAGTATGACTGACTGGTGTTACACATTACAGTTAAGTCATTAACATATGCATAAGCAGTCCAATTGCACACAATACAACATAAAATCGTAGTATTTAATTAAGATAGTTCATTAAATGACGGCTATGCAAATATGTAGGTTAATTAATAATTAAACAAGAAAACTGAAAAGGAACAAGAAAACTGAAATTGTTTTGATTGTTTCCACCCAGAGTTAAATTAAAGTAAAGTTAAATTAAAGTGACCAGTGAAAAAAAAGCTGTTAATACGAGGTAGTTCAGAAGTATAGAGTATAAATATAAGTGAGCCAAGGATAGAACCCTCAGGTATCCTAAAAGGAAGAGTGGAGAAGTTAGAAGTAAAATGAATAAGAACAGCAGAAGAAAAACGATTAGAGAGATAAACCAATATAGGCAAGAATCAGTAACATTCTGATCTAGCTGACTCAAGAGAATAGTATGATCAACAGCATCAAAAGCAGATGAAAAGTCAAAAGAAAGAAGATGAGTTATTATCACTAGAGAGATTATATAGTTTTTAGACAATGTATTTCAACAAATGCGAACATCAAAAGTTACAGTTTATTTATTCTGCAATGGCCATTTCAATCCCGATGTGGAAATAATTACTCAAACCTATATATTGATACTTATGTATTTCAGGCAGCCGTTATAGAAATGTTCTGTCAGACACTAATTCGTTAACTTACATCGTGCATTTACGGCAAGGGTGCATTTATCAATAGCTTCCACATTAGTTATATTGAATACTTGTTCAATCTATTTTTCGATAAAAAGAAAAACAGTTACTGCTGAATTGAACAAATTTCAAAAAGAGTTCTGCTCTTTAATGTATGGCATCAATTTATTCCTTGAAAACATCTATCTCAAGTCAACTTGCTAATCCTGAAATATAGAAAGAAGTCTTAACGTTATTTTCGCTGTAATGTGCTGATAACAGTCTATTGATTTATAACCCCCAACCGCTAGAAATAATTTGAAACTTACAAACATATACACTATAGTTTATACATTCACACGTACGTATGTCATAGAGGTTAACTTGTGTGCTTATGAAGTATTATTTTTAGTTGGATGAAATGGTATGAAAAACACATCCTTTATCATCGATTGGTGTAACATAATAATAAAACGTAAGTAGAGACGGACGCACATTAATTCATAATGCTATACACACAAGCGCGGCGTTAAAAAGGCATTTATACACATCATCAGGACTTACGTAGTGTACGTGTAAGGTATTAATATCAATTAAGCGTGGAAAAGTAGAGACACGTATGAACACACATACACACAAAATGACAAATGATAAATAACCATAAACAATTTTCTTTCATCGTTACCGACTCTTATTTCAAAGGTGGTCTGGTCTACTATATTGTCTGACTGTGTGTCTGTTTATGCGTGCTGTTGTATGCCTTTTATGCAATGCATCCATACGTCATATACAAATACACGTATATGTATATGTATGTATGTATGTATATATATATATATATATATATATATACGAATATTTATATGGCGCTAATTAAAAAGTTTTTCAAAAGCGCTTACATACAAATAGCATACGCAAACATAAAATAACATACAAAATAGTCAAATAAATCAAACATTAAATAAACATTAGATCAGTGAAAAAATGAACATCAATGATTGACACTACTGCGAAAATAAATGTTTTCAACATCTTCTTAAATTTCGCAATACCCAGAGCAGGGTCTCGTAGGTCTTTGGGAAGACCGTTCCAGACTCTAGGACCAAACACAGCAAAGCTTCTAGCTCCAAGTTTCGTTTGAGCCAACGGCACCGACAGATAGTTTAAATCGTCCGAACGCAGGTCGAGGGAAGATGATGTTTTCGACTGACATTTGTTCTTCAAATACTCTGGTGTGGAATTATTCACACCCTTGAACACTATTGTGCAAACTTTAAAAATTATTCGCTTGTCGAAAGTCAACCAATGAAGCTGAGCAAGAATCGGAGATACATGATCAAATTTATACGCACCATGAACAATTTTTGCTGCACGGTTTTGAATAGACTGTAACATTCTAATAGATTTATCGGGTAAACCATAATACATACTGTTGCAGAGGTCCAACCGAGTGTGAATGAACCGCATGCATTAAACCTTCAATCGTGCTTTTGTTCAAGGATTTTCTTATAGAACGTATTTTATGTAATTGAGCAGCGTACACTTTAGTTAGTAGTTTGATGTGATCAACAAACGTCAATTTTGAGTCAACGATCATTCTCAGATTAGTGGCATTACTGCTACACTCAATATTATGTCCATCTAGAATAACAAAATCAATCTTGACTCGCGACAGCTGCTGCCATGTGCCTACTTTCATCAGTTTAGTTTTACCCTGGTTGAGTTTCAGTCGATTTGATAACATCCACACACTCACCTTAGTCAAACAATACACTAATCTAGTAACAGCATCTTGAAATTTATCAGCAGGACAGCTGACAATCATCTGTATGTCATCTGCGTAGGCATGACAAAAAACCCCAGATTTATCTATTATTTCTAGTACGTCGGAGAACGTATATGTGTGTATATATATATATATATATATATATATATATATATATATATATATATATATATACACATATACATATACATATAATTTAACCTTTATGACGATATATCAATTTATATATTTTTTATGATGTTGCAAACATTTGCTACTTATCTTTATATTTAGTTGTTTGCTATACACGAGTGTAAATAAATGAATGTGTGTATATATGTATAATACATACATGCATTAAACATATATTTAAATGTGTGTTGTGTGTGTGCGTGTGCGCGCGCGCGTGTGTGTGATGTTTGATTGTTGTAAAAGTCACGTACATCGCGGATGCATTGTGCTTTTGAGATAGTGCATTGGTCCATGAACAAACTAAAAGAATTGTTTTTCTTGAAATAAAATGGAAGATCATTTTAAACCCCAGCTGCCTAGCGCCGCTACGGTTCTTGTCAGCAATTAATCTTATTATGATCTCTAAAAATCCTTTTTGGTTACTGGTTTTGACGGTATTATGACTCTTAAGCAAGTGATCATCTAGCTTCTAAATCTTATTTATTTTCCATTAGACACAAATATGCTTTATGAACTATTCATGTATTTGTTCAAGCTGTGATTGAATTTGTTTGTATTTGACAGCTGGTTTAATGAATCAATAGAATCAACTTATCAAGTTTTTAGTAATTTATGCTTCACAAAGAGATATTTCATGTTTTGTTACGCAAACAAATTATAGAACATCCAAATTTGTATCGTGTATTTTGTTGAAATTTTAAAAGCGTCATTTCAATATAATCGAGGGACGTTAAAATTTTTGTAACGATATTTTTAATTCAGTACTGCCTACGTTACTAAGAAATTATTTTTTGATATGCAGATGTCAGCCTATTTCATTTAGACAGTCACTCAACCGCTGATAGATGCATAGTATAGGCACAGACAAACGCTTGTCATGCACTCTACGAAGGCATCTGCTTCATTATAAATAGACCTGACCTGACCATATAATTGACCTGAAATGTGTCAACAAACTAAAATTTTAGCTCTTTCCATTTTTTGCGTTTGGCAAAAAGTTAACCAAAAAAAAAATCAACAAAGAATAAATTTAGTGATAAAGAAAGATAACTTAATCGAAGTAAAAAAAAATTACGGTATTAAAATGGTGATATGGTGAAAGTTAAATGATGATTTTAATTGCACTGATTCTCATGCTTTTCATGAAAGGTGAGTCAAAATTAAACAATTTGTTACATCACTCCATTCAAACAAACATGAGGCAATCTAAGCCATTATCCTCATGTATTAAACGCATGACTATGGATGTATTTATACATGACCAATTAGTAAATGAGATTTTATTCTTCAAATTTTTTTTCTAAGATATCAGTAAAATTGTAATATAAATTTATCAACTATCACACACACACACACAATACATACAAACCAAACAGCATATAGAAATGTGTGAATTATTTTTTTTTTAAGAAATAATTTTGTAAACACTTTGTCGTTTGTTAGATAATATAAAATTGATTCGGTGTGGTTTTCAAAAATTGTCATTTTCATTTTTTAATGTTTGAAAAGCGATCTTGCCTTTGAAGGCCGTCAGTCACATCAAGCCGCATCATAATCATATCGTAGTACATCATTCCATCACTGTCACTACTTTTAAAAATAAACACACATACACCGCACACACCCACGCACGCACACACGCACGCACGAGTGTACGTGTGAGTTTCCAACGTGTGTATGCATGTGTATAATGGTTTAACATTGATAGTTTTCAGTTTTTATAAACATAAAATGTTTCAATATTTAGAAAATTTAATAAACATTATTTTTCAAATAAGATGACGAAGACTAATGCCCAATGTCAAACAGATTTATCACGTTCAGTCCTGACAACTAGGAGCTTTCATTATTTTCAATCCAAAACGTGTTCTCCATTTTTTTTTGGTTTAACGTGGCTGTTGTGCAGCGTGTGTGTACATTACATGACGACGCAATCTATTTCGAAAACTGTTATGTGTCTATTTTATTATTTATTAACAAACCGATAGGTGAATTTCGGGAAACTATTTCACATCGTAAATGAAATTTGTGTGTTGTTGATACCTCTGGACTGGACCAATGAAGAGTTTAATGGACCTTTAACCCTTTCTCAACCTTGCTTTTATTTTTTCCTTTCAACGTGTTTGAAATTATTTCATTCAGTTGATGTCGTTATTGATTACATTTTACAGCCATTCCTTTATAGCTTTTATAGCTTTACAGCTAAATATATTTTCAACACATTTTCAAAGTAAAATTTTAAAGTGTTGCGATGAAGTGATATTGATAATGATGATGGTAGTGGTGGTGATAATGGTAGTGATGATATTATTGAGTTGTCATCTGAAAAACATCCTGCAATCGTGACAGTTTGTTGTTTGTGCAGCGTCAAGATGAGCAAACATGGCAACTCATTAAAATTTTACTTCAATTTTTTTAAATATTTGTTTTCTTTTTATTTCAAACTTATTTTTATTTTTCAAGATGGAACCTTTTTTGAAACATCCTTAAAATAACCTTTGTTGAATTTTTTAAAATGTCAGCGTTGGATGTGGCGAGAGTGAAGTGCCCAAAAAAATTTTTAAAGTGTTTTTCAATAGTTCTCTTTAAAAAAAACCTCTGCAGTGTTTTGGTTCAATTGGGAAAACGAGTATTTTTTCATCATTTTCAAAAGAAATTTTTGGTGAAAGCCGTTTAAAAGTAAAACTTTTTTTATTAAAATCAATTCAGATTAGTTTTTGATTACCAAAATCGGCTGAGCAATAAAAATATTTTGATCAGAGGTTAATAATTAATTAAGTTCAATGTGTATGAAAAGTTAAAATTACATAAAAATTTTAAAAACTATGATCATTTAATTACGATTATTTTATTTGGTATTCAAAATATAGTTAAAACTTTCAACAGGACAAAAAAATATTTCCAATTTATAAGTATATAATTTTTTTCATTTCACACGGTTCAACAGCCCAACTAAAATCAAATCGTTTGACTGCAATTTATGAATTTATTTGTTGTAAATTACTTGGAATTGTAATTGCTAATGAGTACCGACAGTTAGGGTGGTTGAGTATTATAACGTAGATGCATTCAGGTGGTGATGTTTTTGTCATGTGATATCCCTCGCCTGAGCAAATATATCAAATGTCTTCATCTCCTCGCTGTGGATCAAAAACAGGCGGACGTGCGTTGTTTTAATAACGGTTAAAACAAAATAGAACAACAGTTATGAGAACATTTATTTTGTAGAAAATAATTGTTGTTGTTGTTGTTGCTGCTGTAGCTGCTGCTGTAATTGTAGTCATTCGCTGATCGATCGATCATTCTCTTCCCTTCCCAGTCTCTCCAGATTGGGAAGAAAATGATCTGCTACCATCTTTGCGGCCTCCATCGGGCGCTCACTCAATCCAGCCAATTGTGCACCGAGACAATACCTGCCCCTCATCTCTTCATAGATGTTGAGTTGATTCTTCTTGTTCACCGCACAATCTGCATTGGTTTTTATTTATTAGGCCAATGCGTGCTCTGTAGTCCCGAATATTCATGTGATGGACAGTTCTAAAACGATTGAGGTCTGTTCTTGTTTGCTTGTCATGTTTCTTCTCACAGAAATTAATTGCTGTAGTATAAACTTTTCTACATCTATCATGCTGTACAGCCTTTCCTGGTATCAACTGATTTATTAACATCTGTGTTATATCTTACGTTTTTAAAAAGAAAACAGAAAAGGCTGTCAAAAGAATTTAAATATTAATATCTTCTGAAAAAAATTTGGATAGCTTCTTCAAAATTGTTGCTAATAATTAAAACTGCATTTTTGGTTGAATAATTTTTTTCAAAATTTTTACATTAACAACATAATAATAAAAAAATTTTAGAAAAAATTTAAGAAGTAATGATGTTATGTTCGAAGTTGCGTGTCCACCGCACAAAAGACCTCACTCACGCCTTAACATACAGACGCATAGATTTCAATTGAAAACTTTTTCCCCAGTTAATTATTTTTCAAAAATATTTTTGAATTGCTTGAGGGTGTTAAATTTGTTTCATCATGTCTTGCCTTATGTCTGAAGCCCAGAAGCGCTTTTGCTTTCACATTAGGGTGATGGTTTATCGAGCCACTTTGGACCACTGTCAATTTTTTAAATCATCGATTTTTCAATAACATTGTATAATTTTTTAGTTTTTATAAATACAATTTTTCATATCACAACTTTTTCAGTTTTTTCTTTTATTTCAATTTTTTATATAATTTTTATTTATTTTGGTATATGTAAGAATCGCAGCAAGGCCGTGAAGAGAAAAGATTATTGAACACGTTATTTGCTGATGGGGCGTACAACAAGTTGGAGCGACCTGTGGCCGACGACAAGGAGCCACTGATCGTCAACTTCAGTTTGACTCTGCAACAAATCATCGATGTGGTTCGTTCAGTCGATTAGTTTATTTATTCATTCGTTTGTTCGTTCGTTCATTTGTTCGTTTCCTCATTCATTCATTCATTCGTTCGTTCGTTCGTTCGTTCGTTCATTCATTCATTCATTCATCTCAGTCTTCATTCTTGACTGTCTTTCATTGAAATTTAATTTCACCGTCATTCAGTTTTATCAAAGTCATTCAAAATACCTCAGACAAGTTGCGTTTTTTATGACTAATTGTTTGAATTGAAAGCCGTTTATAACGTTGAAACGTGTCATTTTTTAAGCAAACAACAACAAAATCACAATCTGCAACGTATGTTTGACACTTGAAACTTAGATGGTAACCATTTTTTTGTTATTTTTGTTGATTTCAAAACAGGATGAAAAGAATCAAATCATCCACACGAATCTTTGGCTAAACATTGTGAGTTCGTTAGAAGCATTTTGTCTAAAATTCACTTTTATTAGAATCAATTATCACTGAAACAATGTAATTGTGATTTTATTATTAATATTTTTAATATTATTTATTATCATTTTATTTCCATTATTCCACAGGCGGTTTTCATTGCATGCACTTTTCAATATCAATTTGTGTCGTAAATATTTTATGTTTGCATTTTATGCTTGCTTGATCCTTTGTGTTGGCCAAGGAATTCAATAGGATCTCCTTTAATCATTGCTTTTTAAAATCATTTTGAGTCACATAAACAAATTAATCAGTCGTAAGCTTCTCTTTCTTACCTCCATACCATATCCCATCATTATTATTTTTAAATTCTTTGTTTTTTTATTAATTTGAAGAAATTTTAATGAATGAAAAATCAAAATTGCTGAAATTGTTATTAAATAAATCATAATAATTGAGATAAATATTTGCGTGCCGAGATGAGCACCATCGCCATTCTTATAAGTGCCGTTATGTTGCTATGGTAAAAAATTAACAAATTCCGTTGGTTGTTGGAATAGTTGATTGCTGAGATAAATGATCATATGAAAAGAATGTTCTTGAATTTCAATTTAATGTTGCCATCGTGAAACTCGTTGTTGGTTGAATGATTGAGTTTGAAAAAATATTCCATCAACCAATCACTCACTGACTGCAATTTGTTTAGAGTCACGTGTCTGAATATAAACTCAAACTAACAAATATAATAAACTTAACAGCAAAACGGGGATCTCCATGCAATCGAACCATCGCAATGCAGCCTAGGATGAAACGTTTATTTGAAATTTGAAGCCGCACACCGGCTTCATTTCTACTCTTGGCAAACATAATTCACTTTCTTTTTTAATGCGTTTGTGTTTCATCTTAATTTTTTCTTTGAGACTTTTAGAGGTTTTTTAAGAGAGTTTTTATTAAATGCCGAAAAGCCAAAGTATGTAATGTTCAAAGGGTAGAGTTGTCATTGAGCTATCGAATCTTGAATCGAATCATCTGTAATGAAGCATTGGATATTAAACAATAAATGTTTAGAAGGTTTAACGTTCAATGGTTTTTGCCGATTTTGTAAGATTTTTCGTTTATAGACCATTAAAATGCTGGGTGATAGTTAAAAATTTGAAGTTAATTAATTAAAAATTGACTGAATTATTAAGTTTTAAATTTGTTAATTAATTAATTAGTCTTAATTAACGTTTATTGCGTATTTTAAAGTTAAGACTTTTGCCATTCATCCCAACGTGCTATAAATTGTCGAAATCTTTAGCATATCAGCAAGATGCAAGAGGAGGTTCCTTTAAAACATTTACGTAAAACACGCAAACATGAGTCACGCAGACGTCTGGGTTTGTTATCAACGCTGGAACGTTTGTTTAATTTGCCCCAAGCTATCACGCGATATCTCGTAATGCATGTCAGATCTGCAGAATTAGAACGTATTTTTCAAGTAATTAAATTAATTCAGCATTTTTAGTAAATATCAAAGATAAAATATGAATTTTTCTGAATCGTAAATTGGATTAAATATTTGGAAAACGTTTTATGATTTTAAGAAATTAAAATTAAAATCTATCAAAAAGTAATATAAATTGAGAAATTTGAGTTCTACAATTTCGTTAAGGCATAAATAACAAATGTTTAAAAATAAAAATTACTTTCAATTTATACTGGCAAAGAAATCTTAACAATTTTTGGTTTTCACAGCTTAAAGTTTTTTTTTCGTGTCTTCAACTTTTTAACCTGTGCTCGTTTCTATTTCCACTTTATTATTTAATTATTTCTCAAAAACTTCAAACTATCAAAATATTAATTTGTTACTTACATGCATTCTATTGTCACTTTGTATTCAAATACATTCAATTAATTCTTTAGAACGATTTAATAAATAATTAAATAGCGAATAAGGCTCTTGGAAATTTGCACCCAAAAATATTTTCACGCGAACGCAATGTAGCGCAAACAGGCGCGAAGAAATTGTGACCCGATGAAATAAGCACTGACATGACAAGTGTATTTAACAATCGATGATGGCAAACATGAAAAGTGGCTTATTGGAGAAAGATGAACGTACGAGTACGTGTAGTCATTATTCTCTACTCTTGTTTTTCCTATTTGCTCAAGTAAAAATTTATTCCACCACATTTTGTTTGCGTTCTTTATTTAATCAAAATCTTTAACTTAACAAATTTTAGAGAAAAAAAAAATCAAAGAAAATTATTTCATTGTTATTTTCACTTAAACGTTTGCTTTTTAGAAATGGAATGATTACAACCTAGTTTGGAACCCGCAAGAATATGACAACATATCAAGTTTAAGAATTTCCGCCAATCATATTTGGAGACCCGATATCTTAATGTACAATAGGTCAGTATTGGCCGTTTTATCATTTGTATTTGCAATCAAAGTGTCGGAGATTATATTTTCTGCATGAAACTACCAATCGTCCAATGGTTTATAAATACAACTTAACTATATAATTATTACTGAATGAAACAGTGCCGATGAAGATATTGACAGTACCTTTCCGACGAATATCGTCGTATCTTCAAATGGTAATTGCTTATGGGTTCCACCGGGTAAGTCCTGTCGCTATCTTTATTATGATGTCATCGCTGTCATTTCGTGTCTTGTTAACAACAAAAATATTGATACATATTAAAATTAAGAAAGCTAAGAAAAACGTGGCTAATACAGAAAAACTTTTAAACACTTCCAAGGGATGTTTGCCAGCACGTGCAAAATTGATATCAGCTGGTTTCCATTTGATGACCAACGATGCAAGATGAAGTTCGGCTCGTGGACGTATGATTCCAGTGGCATTAATTTGATACTGCAGAATGACACTGGTGGGGTTTTTATTCACATCTGCATTTACGACCAAATATTTTGATAGTTGTAATTAGAAGAAAATTATAGCAATCATTTTTTTTTTCAAATGAGCTGATGGCTTAGAAGTGGGTTACTTGATTTGTTGTGATGTTAAACAATGAAACAAGTGATAAATGCACAGCAAAATAACAAAAAAGTTCGGCTTGAGTGGTGTTTGAAATTTAAACGCTGGCACGTACTTGTTCGATGGTCATATTTAGCACTGAACGAACGTGTTTATATCGGACTATAAAGTTGGTCGTAAATAATATTTTGATCTCGACCGTAGCACCAGCCGGTGTTTGTGTCAGATTATAATGAATAGATGTTTCTAGAATGAACATAAATGCCCGCGAACGCGGAAAAATATTTTCAGTTCATCAAATCGCTTTTTAGATATTGATTGGGCTTTATGAATGTTTCGATACATCTAAACGTAATTTAAATGAAATACTATTCCATCAAACAGGTGACGTTTCTAATTTTATCCCGAGCGGGGAATGGGATTTAATAGGTGAGGTTGCGAATGACATTGACGTTGACATTTTAACAGATTTTGTTGCAACAGGTTATAAAATGTCAATACTGGATGATGAACATCTGTAGGCATGCCTGCCAGTCGTAACGTCCTTTCGTACGATTGCTGTCCCGAGCAGTACATTGACATCACGTTCGTCATCCACATACGAAGGAGGTTTCTGTACTACGCGTTCAACCTCATCATCCCCTGCATCCTCATCAGCTCCATGGCTCTGCTGACGTTCACTCTGCCGCCTGACGCCGGAGAAAAAATTTCGCTGGGTTGGATATTTATTTTCATACATTTCTTGCTATTTCATTCGCTAGTTGTTCATTCTACACATTGCGGCAAGACGGTGTAATGGTTAGAGACGCCTGTTGCAAGTTGCGGTTTACTGGGTTTGAATGCAAAGAGAAATCTTACGTGATGTGTGTTGTACATTGATTCACACGTGTTCGTATACGCTGTGTTTGTAACGTGAATGTCTGTTTGTGAGTAAGTTATAAAAGATGAGAGTCGTTACTATTATTCGTTAGGTTATAAGCTAATTGTTAAAAGTTTTGTAAGTTATTCGTCAGATTGGACTTATGTAGTTTTTTTCAGTTTAGTTAAATCATACTGATTCCATTATTTTACCCATTTGAGCAAATTTTTACTTTCATGCTTTAAGCCTTTATTTTAAATGAAAAATCGGTTTAAAAATGACGCAGGTGTAACAGTGCTTCTTTCCTTGACTGTCTTCCTGTTGTTGGTGGCTGAGACGATGCCCCCCACCGCCGATGCTGTCCCACTCATTGGTTCAACTTTTCTGACATTCATAATCGAAGTTGATCGTTAAATAATCTTCTACCATTCCATAATGTTGCTAAATTCTTCACCGTTACAAGCAATCTTTTAATATATGGTGTCATTATTTTGGATAAGCAATCTAACTTGATGGACTATATTTTAAAAATCGAATTTAAAAAAAAATTGTTTCATCGTAGTACATTAACAAATGTTTATATTTTTTTTTATGAAGGATCATATTTTGCCGGCATCATGTTGATGTGCTCCCTCTCAGTTGTGTGCACGGTGCTGGTGTTGAACTTCCACCACAGATCACCCGACACCCATGGCATGCCTAACTGGGTAGGTAGAGGAAGATTAATGATGGTGGATGGACGTTAAATGTGCCCATGAATGATCTGTTCTAACTCGCATCTCCAATCACAAAACAATATAAATTATAAAACTTTATTCAATGTCGTAGATTGTTATTTTAAATTTATAATAAAATAACATTTAGCTATTTGACTGAAAACTGAAATTAGCTTAGATGATAATAATTATTTTCAACTTTTTGAAATTGCCATCAAATTATGCTCGTGCAGGTTCGCATAGGAGTGTGTCAGTGGCTTGCTAAAGTTGTTCGTATGAAAAGACCAAATTTTGAAGAAGTTGCACAAAGCCACAATTGCAAAGATTATAACGATTACAACTGTTGCTGCAAAAAAAGTAGCAGTAACGTTGGAAAAGCTTCAATTGCAAAGAACCTGGAAGAAAACATTTGTAGCACCGGCACAGAAATTTTCGCCACGGACAGAAGGACCAAATTATCTGGACTAAATTTGAAAGCCCAGCGACCAAAATTGTCCAGAAATCTGTCGACTCAAAAATATGATTACTCAAATGGCTCATCCGGTCATTACTTCGTGGAGGACAACACCAACTACGATAGTTACGCTGAAACTGCCCTAAATGAAGCAATCTATCCCGGTGTCCTAGCTAATAAGGTAAAAAAATTTAATTAGTTTTTTTAATAATTTCATTTCAATCGGCTACAACTTTTCTAAAGGTTGACGACAGAAATCTAATGGACGATCAAAGTTCTGACGAAGTTCTTGCGGAAAATAGTTTAACCGGCAACAAATATAAGCTGTTTTCAGCGACATCAACAACCTTGGCAACTGCAACTTCAGTTGACGACTACATGCTGCGACAGCTGCCACAACATCCAACACAACCAGAGCAGCAGCACCATTCATTCCAGAAGCAGCATTCAGTATCTGTTATGGATTACGAAGATGAGGAAATTTGGACTCCAAGAAAACAGACCGGAATCAATTTAACTTATAGCAACATAAAAAAACAACAACCACAGTTTCAACAAAATGTTTGCATCAACAATTTCGATTCAGAAAATAAAGCCAAGAAAAAACACGACAGAGCAGTTTATTACAAAAACACGAGTGGAAAAGAGCGACATATCCTGGAAAATAATAAAACTAATTTGAAGGAAAATATTTTGTTAACTAACAAGTTATATTCCCAAAGAAAAACTCCAATCTCTGCAAGATTTTCTCCAACGACAGTGAGGAAAACAACTCTGTTTGCTAGCAACAACGACATTAACACTTACAAAACAACTCCAGAAAATATTAACAGGAACTTCGCTAAAGAAAATGTGTATGATCACCGTCCAGACGTATTTCCATTTTTACCTGTAGCAGAGTGCGGTAGACAGCAACAGAGTCTGCAACATGAGTCGATACAGTTTTTAGCAACAACGAAAAGCGAACAACTTCTGCTGTCAATACTGAACGAGTTGAAATTTGCAACGAATAAAATTCGAAACGACGACATGCGCTGCGACATGTGCAACGATTGGAAGTTTGCCGCAATGGTGGTCGATAGGTTGTGTTTGTGGCTCTTCACCGTCTTCACCCTCGGTTCAACTGCCATCGTTTTTCTATCGGCACCGCACGTAGTGAAATACGACTGAGTGATCTGATGGCTCATCTTACTGGATGCTCACTCGATCGCTTGAAAAATAAAATGATCATTCGTGACAACCTGATTCGTGAAGCTAATTATTTATTAACACTATGTTCAACTTTTTATTTAATTTTATGTTTAACTTTTTATTTAAGAGTGGTTAAATTATATGTTAAATAAAAGTGAACTATTGTTATTTTTATATGATATCGTTAAAGATACGCTAACCAATGGACAGCCTAACACCACTTGATAAAATAATTTTAAATGTACCAGTTCAAATGAATGGCTATATTGAAAAACACTAAACAAGTTCTTTGAGATATCAACTAACAATGCTGTTAATTGTTTAAATTATTTTGTGCCAAGTCCGTGTTTGTCTGTTGGCTTCATTCAGCACTTAATAAAAAAAATATATACATTCGCTTACGATTGATTTTTGTTTTTTGTGAAATTTGTGAAAAAAAATTTGTTTATTATTATTATTTATTAATTTGTCATTAATTTGCATATTGTCTGAGTTTTGTAATTATAACTATAAAGACGATGTCTTAATTTTAACGACGTCATACAAAGAAAGTCTAGACTAATACATTAGAGCTAAAATTAGACCTTAGAAAGGATTTGGTTGACGTTTCAGAGATTTAAAAAATCCTAGCTGATGTTTTGTTTAGTGTGAATGATTTTTTACAGTCTTAAAAATGTTCTTCTGGTGGACAAAAGTATGTCTTCCGAAAATAGTATATTTGGATTAGACATGGGTAAGTTGGTTAAAAATTGAAGATTTGAAAAAGTTTTTAAAACTTTAAGAACCACAACCAAAGTATTTTAACCGTATTATTACGACTTTGTTACCAAAATACTAAAATTTTTAGTCAAGATATATATAGATTTAACATACATTTTTTTTAAACGAAGTTTTAAAAAACTCAGGAGGACTGAATTTTTGTTTTTTAGCTTGTAAGCTTGACTGCGAAAAATTTTTAATTTTTTCCCACGAAACAAAATCGTCAAACGTTGAAAAAATTTCTATAAAAAATTCAGAATCCGCCACTATATACGTTATATATTACAACATACGAATAAATTCCGCGAATGCTTTTGCCAGACACACGCGCGTGCGCGTATTTACCTACGTAAGTAAGGCATTGTTCGGAACGCTTGGTTGCGTTGGAAACGGCTATATACAAATCATTTCCAAAATTTGTGATCATGAGTAAATGCTTTGGCGTGTGCTATTTCTGCTGTTTATTGTTGAACGTTTTGTAGTCCTTTCTTGTCCTTTCATATGTTGAATATAAGTTCATTGTTTAAACGCTAAACTGTAAAATAATAGATATTACAAAATAATCTTGATAGTTTTCATAGCTAAGTAGATTTTGTTGATAAAAATGTGCTGTTGAAATGTTTGCGGGTGAAAAATATAATTTTGCTCTAAAAATTGTTGTATAGTTTATGCATCCCAATTACATAATGATGAAATTTATTTCAATTAAAAATCGAATGAATGTAATTATGAAGAAATAACATCAATGATAATGTCATCGTCATAATTGGCGTCACTCCAACAACGTAACCGCTTCATCAGGTAACTCATGTAATGTATTTTTGTGAGAATGGGGAACCTCTTTAACAAGAAAAAGTTAGAAGGTGAGTTCGGCTACTTATTTTAAAAGTAACTTGTATTTTATTATTTCATTAGAAACTATAATACTAGTTCTGTTCATCAATGAAAGACTTATTTATATGCGCTTGTTATGAACAATTGTTGAGGCAGATTGATTGTTGTTTGCGTAAATGAAAGTTTATGTATGTTAAAAGTTTTTTATTAACTAGTTGGAAAGCAAGATTCCAAACGAAAGTGTTCATAAAAAGTTGACATTATTCAGAAATCTGAAGATTAAAAATTAATAGGAAAGTTGAATATTCCTTAAAAATTTATTGAACAAATCTACAGCAAAAAATTAATTTTATATTCTTAATAGCGTATATAGAAAATCAGAGGTCAATAACTGAAGATAAGTTAGAAAAATGAAAGGCATATAGAAATGACATACAAGAACAAAAACTTATTATTGTAGAGTTAAAAGTACCCTATAAAGTAATAAATTATTACATAATTACCAAGTTTTTCATTTCCTCAAATTAAGAAATAACTCGAATAGTTAGAGCCAACGATCCACTGTTCAACCAATCCTTCCTGTACCCGGTTTGTTCATACGTGCTATTTATTTTCCAGTTTTGTTTAAATTATTGTGGTTATGTTAATTTTATTGTTTGAAGATTATGTTAATTACATTTTTCATGTTAACACGCTATTATAGTGCATAGTTGAGATTTGTTAGCAGTTTTAGTTACAAAATATATTTCTTCATAATGAAATTTTCATCTTCAACGTCGTGTAATTTAGTTTGAAAATTTTGAATTTAGTTTTAATATAGTTTGTAGTTCTGGTAGAAATTTTGGTAAAAAATAACTTGTAACTTTTAGCAAACTATCATATCAGATTTCTAGATATTACAAAAATTGATTGCAGCAAACATTTCACTCCTTTTATACCTGCTTTTTCTTGTACTGCCTTCCATCTATTTAAAATGCTACCTTAAAGTTTTGCACAGGCTTCTTAAAATTTAATTTAAAATCAGTCGACATGCAAGATGAACTGCACTAATTTTGTACACAGGAAGGAATTGCACTCAAATAAGCTTTCATCAGTTATGTGACAGACTTTCCTGGACGTTTTCTCTTTTCAAGTGCGCTGTGTTGATTTCGACTAAAATCATCAGCCGTCTGTGACATGTATATCAAATTTTGAATACTTCTAAATGATTTCTTGGCAGAGCTGAAAAGTTTCAATGAAATTAAAACTTAAAAAGTTCTTTCGTAAACTATTTTTTGACAACTCGACTACTTAAAGTGGCGCTTGGGTTTCGGCAGTGAATTATAATTCGCTTCAATTGAAACAAACACTGCCATTTGGTAACAGGGGTTTGAATGGCAAAACGCTAAACAATTTTTTATGCATACCAACATTTTTGCTATCTTTTCTTCATATATGATACATCAATATTTTCATTGATCGCAAAATATATGAAAAATCTCGTCACTTACCTTGTCAATAATTTTGACAAAAGTTTTAGGTGCAACTTAAAAATTCATTTTAATGACGTTATATGCATGACGCCAGATTCATACATACACAACACGTTGACGAACCACGTACCTGTGCAATCGATTTATACTAGGTAGCCTTACGAACTTCTATTGTAATTATGCGGCAAGTTGAAATCAATTCACATTTAAAAGATTGCACGAAGATCAGAATTAACAAATTTAAACTAATAAATAAACGGAAATAGCGCTTTCCAAACTAACTGATTGATTGGTTGATTATTTTTCATGATCAGGGGCTGCCTGTTTATCAGGAAATTGCTTTAAATAAACTCTCCCGCCTTAATAAAGCTCAAAAGATTCAACAGACCAAATTATTTAATAACTGTGTTGTTACTATGCAAATTTTGCCTAATTTCATTTTTTACAACATTGATATTAATTATTGAAATCTTAATTTTTTTTAAATCGTACTAAAATCTATTTAATTTTTTCAAATGACATGTTTATTACCGGACAATCAAACGATTTTGGATCTTCCAGACGAACGTAATAAGGACGTCGAAATACAACATCATCACATTCTTGCCAAAAAATTTGTTCGAGCAGTTCCAAAGAGTGGCAAATGCCTACTTCCTCTTCCTTCTTGTTCTGCAAGTTTGTTTCACATTTCAAATTTTAAATTTGTATTCTAATACGTACGCCAAGTAACCATATGAAAAGTTTGGTTGTTTTTTTATTATATAACCACTGAAAGGTTTGGTTAGCATGCGTGAAGATGAAGTCTGTTATATTTTTATCTATTTTAAAATGTTACAAATTCTAACTCACAACGCAAAATATAGTTTGAAAAATTAAATAACGATAAAAAAAAGTCAGTTGAGGATGTCATTTTTTAAAGGTCACCAACTCCCTCGTCCCTTGTTTTCGCACGTTCTTTAAATTATAAAATGTGGCGGCGTATAGTACATCATCATTGTAATTTTATTTTTAGTTTACTGAAAACTTTTAAATTAGTTAAATACAGATGAAGTAATACAAGTTAGAACACGCATATGTTGATTTAACATAACACCATGCATGTTAAACAGTCCATTCCTCAGATATCTTCTCTCACATACGTCACCACGGTAATTCCTCTGCTGTCAGTGCTGTCTGTTACCGCTCTGAAGGATCTATACGACGATATTGTTAGTTTATTGCTATTCAATAAGTTGTCCAGTGTTGTGGGCATGTTTTGCGTTTGGCTTGCTTACCTGTCTGGTGTTAGTATTTTATACATTTGGGACTAAGGATAAAGTTCAAACATTATTGATGCTACAAATATTATGATGAAATTTTTTTTGCAAAATTGAAAAATGATTCTTTGCTGAATATTACTAATGAGGCATCATCAAGCAATTTTGATTTACCTCAAGATTATACAATTATCATCTCACTAGAAAGATTTCAGAAGATAAATCATTTCACCACATTTGTTTGTTAGCAAAGTTCATTAATATTTCGTTTGAAACCACTTGCCACACCCGACGTCCATCTCAAACAGCAAAGACACAGAAGCGATCGCAACATCAACAATAGGATATGCAAGGTGGCACAAAATAATGGATTCATCGACGTTCAGTGGAAGGAGTTGGCCGTCGGAGATGTCGTTGTTCTCTTCGACAACCACTTTGTTCCAGTTAGTTTCACAATATATGTACATCGTCTCATCTGGAATGTTGTGGTAGCATTTAAATTTTAGTTAATAAAAAAACAATTCTTTTCATATTTCATATTTTCATATTTTAAAAATCACAATGAATACCTTCATAAGAATAAACTCAACCAAAAATGTTTATTCAAACAAAGCTATGCGTTTCAATCAGTTTCAATCAAAATTTTCAATCATTATTACGACACTTAATAACACGAAAGAAGCATTTTCAACCTCTCTAACTTATAACATTCAACCATTGGGAATACTTTTTGTAACCTACCTGATGGATATAACGAAACTCTCGCGATCACGATACAATGCAGGCAGACATGTTGCTGCTGTCTTCGAGCGAGCCATGCGGGTTGGCTTACGTTGAAACGGCTGATTTGGACGGGTGAGGTGACATGAGAAATTTAAAAACATTTTTTTCTTGTTTCTAACTGCCTTCACGAAATATCAGCGCAAATTATTCTTCATGTGTGAATATATTATAAAATATTTTAATATTTTATTATTTCACATTTTATCCCAGTTTAATCATTAGAAATTGGGCTATTAAAATTTGATTGCCTTATTGATTAATTGGTTAATTAATATTTTATTTATATTAATAACAATTAATATACTGCAATGTATTTTAATCTGATCGAACGAAAAGTGAAACAAACTTGAAGAACAAACAGTCCATGCTTTCTACTTCATACCTCAGTAATGACGTCAGCAAGCTGTCCCGTTTTAATGGTTAGTCTAAGTTTGCATTACGCATCATATAGTATAGAAACGAACTTCCGTGTCTTACCGCGAATCTAGGGGGGCCGGGGAGAGCCATGGACCCCGTTGGGAGCAGTTTTTAAAAAACAAAGTCTATAAAACTCGGTTTTTGCACAGCAAAAGCATCTTCCCACCGTCAAAATTTTGAAATTGTTTGAACAATTAAATGTAACTAAACAGGACTAGTTGAATGTGACCCACCAAATAATGTCCTCGATAAATTCAACGGCAGACTAATCGTCGAGAAACAGTCCGAACTTCAACATAACTCCTTAACAAATATCGAAGAAATCAATGAGTATGTTATATTTAAAAATCACAAAAATTAACTTCGACAAGCATATTAATTGCGACAATTACAAACAACAGAGCGATCGACATTAGCGTGAGCCAGGATGTGAGCCACAGCAGCCACAACATCAGCCACATCAGCAGCAACGAATCACACGCCATAACAAATGGAAACATTCTACTGCGCGGTTGCACTCTCCGCAACACTAAGTGGGTCTCAGGACTGTTGATCTACACTGGGAAGGACACCAAGCTGATGAAAAATGCAGGCAGAACAATATTCAAGAGGACGCATATAGATCAATTAATGAACAAACTTATAATATGGGTCAGTTTGGCTTTCAAGTGTTTTTGGATTTAGGTTTTAATTTTGTTTTACTAAATTTTTTTAAAATAATTGTAATATATACGCAATAAAATCTGCAAAGCTCAGCAAAAATCGGGACTTTTGACAAAGAAAGAGGAAATACAAAATAAAAAAATTGTAAATAAAACTACCGGAGCAATAAAAAAAAGCTTTTAGCAGCAGAGTTGTCAATGAATTGAACAAATTTGAACAAGAGGTTGTTATCTTCAAACACCGCCAGCAACTTAAAGACCAGCTGTCAAAAACACTAAAATTCCAGAGCAGTCTTATTACAGACAATTTACGTTGCATACGTATCTGCATACCCGCAACTGCAACATGTTATTTAACGACAGACACGTCTTCTCCTACAGATATTTTTCTTCCTGCTGTTCATCTGTTTCATCTGCTGTATCGGCTGTGCCGTGTGGGAATTCAACGTCGGATTCTACTACCAAGTGTACCTACCTTGGCCCCAATACGTCCCAGCCTGTTAGTTTCCATTATAACATTTGTGGAAATGTCCTGATTTTGTTACTGCTTCACTTTAATAATCGTCACTTATATTTCAAGATGAACGTGATTAGGTTAAGTACCTGGAAGATTATTATATACATTGTTAACGATTTTATTCAACCAATAGGTTATGATATCGTCAAAATTTTTAATTATAGCATCGTAAACATTTTGCTGTTTAAAAAAAACTATTAAGTTAGATGTTGCTTGTATTTTTTAAATACCTCATCGATGCATCACTCGCGTTCAACTCCACTGAACAGCCGTCCTGCGCTCTGACCACAATGAGAAACTGGCAGGAGTCGTTGTGACATCACTTCTCGTCTTCCTCTCCTACATCATCATCATGAACACTTTGGTTCCAATCTCTTTATACGTTAGGTGACAAAAAATAGTAGCTAATTTTATTTATTTTTTAGTGCAAATTAGACTGAAATATAAAAAGGTTTTAAAGGCTTTATCAACTTATGGTAATTCACATCAACTCTTTATAGCAAGTAGGACAGGTAAGTGTCAACTTATGCGGCAAGGTGGGTTAACGAAATTTTAAAATAGCGTCGCAAACTAGTGCTTTAATGAATTAATGAATGAACATATGTGAATACTTCTAATAAAACATTATTGTGAGAGAGTCATGGCAGGTTTGAATTGTAAATAAAAATCAGGAAAGGATTTCTTTCAGGGCTAAGAAATTGTAGCTACGCATTCATTGATGAATTTAATAAAAAAAATCATTTAAAATTTTCTAATCATGTCTTTAAAATGATACATTCAATCATTTTCAATATATAGCGTAGAGATAATAAGGTTTACTCAAAGTCTGTTTATAAATTGGGACATCGGAATGTATCACAAGCAATCTAACAAGGCGGCCAAAGCGAGGACCACAGCTCTAAACGAGGAATTAGGGCAAATCGAATACATATTTTCAGATAAAACTGGAACATTAACTCAGGTTTTCATGAAAATGCTCATGGATATATAAAAATTAATTATCAATCAAAATCTTAATTTGTCACAAAAAATTACACTGCCCAACAGTGTTTTTGTATCTGAACCAAAATTAGTTGTTTCTTATGTATTTTCACCGTCTGAATCCGAAAATGACATTAAAAATTACATATTAGCTCTAGTTCAAAAGATAAAAGCAAAACTCTATCCTCAAGAGTATAAATTTTTATTTTTTGGAAAAATTTTTTTATCTTTTTTTATTTTGCCTCTTGGCTATCTATAATGCTTTATTTATGGAGGCACAAATGAAATAGAAGAAGGAAAAGAAAGCCAGCCTTCCACATCAAATGATTCTGATTTTGTGTCAACAGATGATGCACCACACAGATGGAGTTAAGCAGAATTAAGTGACCTCGTTCGAGATCTTGACTTGTCACTGGAAATGGCAGAACTTTTAGGGTCTAGATTAAAACAGTGGAATCTTCTCCAATCTGATGTTAAAGTTTCCTATTTCAGAAAACGGCAACAAAATCTTCTTCGTTTTTTTGAGAAGAAAAATAACCTTGCTGTTTGCGTTGATGTCTATGGATTAATGTATTGTCTCAATTTGAATTATGATCCAAGTGAATAGAGATTATTCATAGATTCATCAAAGCTAAGCTTGAAAGCTGTATTACTGCACAATGGAAATCATTTTCTATCAGTTCCTATTGGCCATGCAGCTCACATGAAAGAAATTTACCTAAATATGAAAACTCTTCTTAACTCAATTACAACGAACACAAATGGAAAATTTGTGGTGACCTAAAAGTATTCCTAAAAGTATTGCCACACTTTTAGAAATGCAATTAGGCTATACTAAATACTGCTGATTCTTGTGTATGTGGGACATAGAGACAAAATTACATATTACACACAAAAGGACTGGCCTGCAAGAAATCTCAACAAAGGTGAAAAAAATTTTGTTGCTGAAAGATGTACTTCTTCCATCCATACACATTCAGCTGGGTTTAATGAAAAATTTTGTCAAAAGGACAAATATGGACAGGCTTTTAAGTATTTAAGAAACAAATTTCCAAAACTAAGTGATGCAAAAGTAAAAGAGGGTATTTTTGTTGGACCATAGATACATGAACTTGTGAAAGATCCTGCATTTGATGAAGTTTTGAAGGGGCAAGAAAAAGAAACTTGGGAATCTCTCAAGGGAAAGATTTGTGGATTTTTAGGCCACAGAAGAGATGATAACTACATCCAATTGTTAACAGTACTTCTGCAAAAATGCCATCAACTAAGACGTAACATGTCCTTGAAGATTCACTTCCTCAACTCACATTTAGACTTCTTTCCACTTTGTGGAGCTGTTAGTGATGAACATAGAGAAAGGTCCCACCAAGATATTTCTGTAATGGAAAAAAGATATGAGGGTCGTTGGAATGAAGCTATGCTTGCAGATTAATGTTGGTTTATATGTAGGGATGCTCCAGAGCTCGCATACAGGCGGAAAGCAAAAATGGCACAATCGCGCGAAAATATTCCATAATATTCTTTATATTTATTATTTTTCATTGTTTAAAACTGTTAGAATGTAATCTTTATTGAAAAAACTAAATGCACTTTAAATATTATTAAAATAAGTAAATTATATGTCATATTGCTATGTTGTGAATAAGCAAAACCAAAAATTTTGTTGTTGTATATCTCAGAAACTAGAGCTAATAAAAAATTTTTGTTTGCATTTTCGTTTTTCTTACCCCAAAATTAGTATAATTTGACTAAAAAAGTTAAGGATACAAAAAAAAATATTTTTTTTGTTGCCCAGTGTTATTAATTGCAGTTGAAAAAGTTAATTAACGTTGATAAAGCGGCTGTTCATTTTACTGATATTAATAGTTTTCATCCAAAACTTTTATTCATAATTAAAGCATTAGTTTTGAATATGAACCATTTTTTTGTTTGTTATTTATAATTAATAATTTTAATTCCGAAAGAATATAATGACGTTCAAGCAGTGTTCAGTTCTCGGGATAAAACACAGCATTGAAGATTTATTGAGTTTGTACGGGGTATGTATATTTCTTCAATTATTATTTAAATTTTGCAAACATTTATTCGTGGTTCACCAATAAAAGAAACAACCTTTCAATACCTAAGAGATAATATGATATTTTATAACATGACAAAAGCCAAAACAGGAAACCAACGACAAACGCGAGGCCAGCAACCCTATCATTCCCTATGGCAATGACAAAACTTTTCTGAAAAACGAAAAAAAATCCATGATTGAATTTTTCCGCGTCATTGCAGTTTGTCACACTGTGCTCTCCACTGTTGACGGAGGTAGGTAGGTAGGTAGTCTCGTGTGGTATTCATTCTGGGCATGCCTTGTCTTGTTTTTGTTTCTTCTCTTTTGCTTATTGGTAACATGAGTTTTTGGTAATCATTTTAAGAAGTTTTTTGCCCAAAACATTCTGTTTGAGGGAAAAAATTAATTTTAACATTTCCAATAAGCATATAATATTTTTTCATATTTAATTCAGTTATAAAATGTTTTTAATTTTTTAATTTTCAGATAAGCTAACTTACCAGGCACAATCACCTGATGAGTCAGCATTGGTAGAAGCTGCCCGACAACTTGGCATTAAGTTCTTGGTGAAAAAAACTTTGTTCACCATATTTAAGCATTAATTTATAATTATAAAATAATTTTACTCTTTTTTCATGTTGAAGGTATTGAAAATTCATATTTGTTAGCCCAAAATTGTGTTAATAGCAAATGATAAATTTGTAAAACAAATGAGAAAAACTTCATTTAGGTTATTTCGTCTGTTAGTTTATCTCGAAATTATGGAGGAAGTTTCCGACTATTGTCAAAATTTTGTTTTATAACGAACTACTTTGCCTCTGCCAAAAACTTGATGTTAAATTCTCTCTTTTTTTACTTTTTTACGTTGCAGACACGAACGCAAACAACCATCACGATTGAAGTGTTTGGCGAAGTTGAAACGCACGAACTCTTGTGCATTCTAGATTTTGACAATGATAGAAAGCGCATGTCGGTTAGTTAATGAATTACACACACACACACACACACACACACACACACACACACACACACACACACACACACACACACATGCATACATACATACATGCATACATACGTACATACATATGTCGTCGATTTGCAATGTTCAAGTGACTGACAGTGGTTGGTCCCAGGCTCAGCTGCCGGTGCGATTTGGTGGGCTGGGGTTGCTTAGCGTGGTTCAGCTGGCTCCCGTTGTTTATAATTCTTCTGCCGCTGCCACTCTCGACCTGCAGTCTTCCCTGCTCCACTGGTTTTTTCGTTGCCGCGATATTCTTCCCCCAGTGTCCGCCCCGGGGGACCGTACGCACGTCCAAATTTTGAACGAAGAATATAAAAAGATCTTTCAAAATTTGTTGTCTTCATGCGGCGACGACTTTTCCACCGCTCGTTTGTTGGCCATGTCCAGCGTTGCCAGCTGTGGGTGGTTGAGATCGTGGCCTAACACCTCTGTGGGCACCAGGCTTGACGACGAGTCTGTGAGATTTGCCATTGGCTTCAGACTTGGCCTGGTCATTCAGAATAAATACACGTGCCGATGTGGCGCTGGGGCGGACGAGTTTGGGCACCACGGTTTGGTTTGTCGCCTGGGTGGGGGCCGTCAACTACGTCACTCAGCGCTAAACGATTACATTTGTCGGCTCTTCTCCAATGCTTCAATCCCGGTTCTCAAGGAACCATCCGGCATTTCTGCGCATGATGGTAGGCGCCCGGACGGATGCACGCTTTGGCGTGGGATGTTACGGTCCCTGGCACCCTCGCCGAACGATACGTAAACCTGACAAGTAAAGAATGCGGTTTGGCCGCGGCCAGGGCAGCGGAGGAGAAAATGAAAAAATATGGGAACGCCCTCCCCTCGATGGAATTCTTGCCAATATGCATCGAGGTTCTTGGCCCGATGGACCCCAACACCCTTAAATTTCTTAAAGAAATATGCAAAATGATCAGCGTCAGATCAGGCGACAGCAGGGAACTGTTTTTCGCAACTAACCACATTTCGTGCTTGTTGCAGCGGTTCCTGCGTGTCTGTGTGCTTGAAAATATCCAACTGAATGCCGACATGTGCAATTAACGACAAATCAAAGTGTTAATCCATTTGTTACTTGATGTTTGACGGTTCAGTGTCACTCATCATGTTTTGGTTTTAACATACATACATACATACATACATACATACATACATACATACATACATACATACACACACACACACATACATACATACATACATACATACATACATACATACATACATACATACATACATACATACATACATACATACATACATACATACATACATACATACATACATACATACATACATACATACATACATACATACATACATACATACATACATACATACATACATACATACATACATACATACATACATACATACATACATACATACATACATACATACATACATACATACATACATACATACATACATACATACATACATACATACATACATACATACATACATTTGAAGACATTTTCTATAGTAAATGAACATGTTTGCCGTCCATCAGGTAATATTGAAGAGGAACAACCAAATAACATTATATTGCAAGGGCGCCGACAGCAAAGTGCTAGAAAGGTTGGACGTCTCCTCGAACAACATGATGAAGATAACTGAAACACATCTCAATGTTGGTTGCTAGATGACAAGAAATTTTTAAACTTAATTTATTATTTGTTAAGCATACAGGTTCACTGCGTTTTTTTTAAATAATTTTTTAAGTGTTGATTTTATTTAGATTCATTTTTAAGCAGATTATTATTTTGTGAAATATTATAAAAATCGTAATTAAATGTTTAACATCACGTACGCCAAACCACTTCAATTATGAAAAAGCAAAGTAGGGGATTTAAGTTTATACATTATGTTGGTTACATGCAGGATTACGCGTCAGAGGGGTTGAGAACTCTTTGTCTGGCGGTTAAGAACATAACAGCCAATGAATATCGAGTGTGGCACGAAGAATATCACAAGGCGAAGTTTGAAAATATTTCTTCCTTACTTGTTAAATGAAAAAAATATAAATTTAAAACAAATTATCAACTATACAAATTTAACTAAAGACAAAATTGTTGAGGCTAAATTATAACTATTCGTTATTAGCACGACAATTTTGAATCGAGATAAATACGTCAGCGAGGCCTGCGAGAAAGTGGAATGCAATTTGACGTTGCTGGGAGCGACGGCAATCGAGGACAAACTGCAGGATGGAGTCCCGCAAGCCATCGCTACTTTGAGGTTGGCCGGAATCAAAATCTGGGTTCTGACCGGAGATAAACAAGGTTATTAACAGTATAGAATTTGTCCATTAAATATTTGAAAATATCTTTTGGATACGATACGGTCGAAACTTAAATAACAATGTTTCGATTCGATATGCTAATGAAGCAAAATTTTAAAAATATATTTGGTGGAATGAAAAAATGTGACGAACATATCTCAAACTGATCACCTTTCATGTTCACCATTTAATTTCTTCACTGCAAATATTAACATCGTAACTTGGAATGATTTTCTCTGCAAAAATATTAAAGCAACACTTGGCCCATTAATTTAAATTATGCTTTTTAAACTTTTTCAACACCGATTAGAAAATAATTTTTTTACAAAACTCAGAAACAGCCATCAATATAAGTTACAGTTGCAAATTGTTGTCAGAGGAAATGACTAAAGAACTGTTCATAATCGACGGTGATACACAGAACGAAGTGAAAAATCAGATAGAAATTGTCGAACAAACCTTCAAAAGTTACTCAACGAATGAAGAAATCTCTTCGAAACTTACCAACGAATATTATCCACAATTTTCTGGAAAATCTTTTCTTGAAAAATGGATCACAAGATTTACGTCAAGTAAAGAAAATGTCCTGAAAACTAATAACGGTAAAGAGAAAAACAAAGTCAAAAATTCAAACGCACCTAACATTCATGAATCCAGGCCAATTATTATTGGCGACAACCGATCCGACAGTCTAAAATCCGTTGTTTACGATTTTGAAAATTTGGATGAAGAAAACGATCAAGCAGACAAAGATGGGTTTGTCGTTTCAAATGCACTGTCGCCCTCTGAGGTTTTATCCAGTCCTCTTGCTTCTCCTGAAGGCTTTCCTGATTTTGCGCTGGTTGTTACTGGCAGCAGCTTGGTTAGTAAGCACATTTGCAAGATGATTGGTAAAGATGTATTGTAATAATAATCTTTTTTTAGTGTTATTTTTATAAATTTTATTATAATGTTTTTGAATGTTTGCTAAAAGATGTAAAATATATAACATACTTGTTTTTATTTAATTAAATTATTTAAATTAACTGGATTGAATAATTTTTATTTATCAATTTTAACAATACTTTTTGCAACAATTGACCAGACGCATCTTCTGTCAACTGACCTCGAGGAGAAGTTTTTGAAGATAGGATGCAGTTGTTCGTCGGTCATCTGCTGTAGAGTGACACCGCTGCAAAAGTCGCAAGTGGTCAATTTGGTGAAAGTTCACAGGAAAGCTGTAACCTTGGCCATTGGCGATGGTGCTAATGACGTCAGCATGATAAAAAGTATGCTTTGTTCTAAACATCATCCTTTGTTTAATTGTCGATCTAGATATTTTATAATGAATCTGAGTAACCAAAACTCAAACATTAAAAGTTTAATTACAAGTCTTGAAATGAAATTTTTGTCATAAATTGAAATCAGCTAAAGCTGAAACAGTTTCTTTTTCACTTTTCAGCGTAATTTAACTTAAGAATTAAAAATTTAGGATTAATTTCAGTTATTAATTAAGATCATTATTTTAAAAATTTGTTTGCCTTCTATAAAAAATTTTTCAACAGAATTGGAATATTTATATAAGAAAATTAGTTGGCAAACGCAGAAATTGAAATGTAACAACTTGTTATAGGCGCTCACATCGGAGTCGGGATAAGTGGTCAGGAAGGAATGCAGGCCGCACTTTCGAGTGACTACTCGTTCGGACAATTCCGATACCTGGAAAGGTTGTTGCTAGTTCATGGTAGGTGGTCCTACATAAGGATGACCAAATTTTTAAAGTTCGTATTACGTTTAATTACAACCTTATATACTCGTTCCATCCAATTTGCTATTTCAAAATATTTTGAATTGCTATGAATTGGAAAATGTTTAACTTTCAGATTCTTTTTCTACAAAAATTTTGCATTTACTCTCTGCCAGTTTTGGTATGTCTTTTACTCAGGATATTCAGCTCAAGTAAATTTGGACATTTATATTTTTGATTTTTTTATAATGATATAATTAACGCTAATGAAAATCTTTCAGACAATTTACGACCCCTTTTTTGTGAGTTTCTACAACTTATTCTATACATCATTGCCGATTCTGGCAGTTGGCGTATTTGAAAAGGTTAAATGCAAAAATTTGCATCACGATATATAATTAAAATTTTGATGAAATTATGTAATAGGACAGCGATGATGAAATTTATCAGAACTACCCTAAATTGTATGAACCGGGTCAGAAAAATTTGTACTTCAGCAAGAAGTCGTTCGCAAAAAGCACCTTGGAAGGTCTTGTAACTTCATTCGTAATATATTACGTAACTATGCTGACGATGATGCATTTAATCTCTGGTGACGGAGGCACGGAACTGTCGGACGCAAATGGTATGGGCTTCACGATGTCCTCCACTGTCGTTGTCGTTGTCACCTTTAAGGTCAGATAACTTGTAAACATGTTAAACTTCATTAAAATTTAATTTTAAAGTATCATGTGCCAGCAATTTTATTCTGGAGAGATTTGATTGATCAGTCTGTCAAAAAAATATGTTTTTTACAGAATTAATATTCATGCAAATGTTTTGTTTTATATTCTATTCAATATTTTATTTCCAGTAACTTTCAATGCCTAACTGACTAATTAACTGTTTTAAACAGTTTTGAAGTCGGATTGTTAATCACTAAAAATACAATTTAGACCGTGAAATACAATTTCTAGCTTTTGTAATTGATGTTTCAACCATGTACATAAAATATTATTATAGTATTACACTAGTACATTATATGATATTATGATTTCAACAGTGCGCATTGGAAACGAAACATTGGACGCTTATCAACCATTTGTTCATTTGGGGAAGTTTGGTATTTTACTTTCTCTTCAATTTTATTTTCTACCTTCCTGTGTTCAAATACAGTTATGCTGGAACTTTCACAAAATTGGCATCAAGTCCGCAATATTGGCTCTCTATGATGCTATCCTGCGCCATATTACTGATACCACCATTTTTGTACAAGGGTTACTGCGCGGTTGTTCATCCTACCTTAGCTGAGAGATTAAGAATCGCTTGTAGAAAAAACAGAAGTAAAGTTAAACCGGCGTTAGATGTTGGCCTATCAGATTCACAAACAAGTCTGTGCTCATCCACGACGAGGTCGTCATCAGCGTCGAAAGAACCCTTCATCGAGAAAATGTCAGCCCGACCTTCCTCGAGGTCATCCAGGCCACGATCCGGTTACGCATTTTCCCATCAAGGTGGCTTTGGTGAATTGATAACAAAGGGATCAGTTTTTAATCTAAGGGATGGTCTCTGAACATTATGAGTCGGTTTTCAAAATTATCTGCTTATATTTTCAATGACTAACTGGGTTTATATATTTTTTAATAGCACTTGATATTATTGGTTTTGTTAATTACTTTTCACATTATTCTCATTTGCATTAAAGTTAAATCTACCGGTTGAAACATTCTGTCAAAACAAATGCACACGTTCATTAATAATATTTGGCTCACATGAAAGTAGTGCTTAAGTTTAAAACGTTTATCTGACTTGTTTGCTGAACGTTCGCATCTAATCTTCGACAGCATTATCTTTTATGATCTCAAAGTTCAAGTTGATTTGTTTCACTGGAATGCTAAATAAGTTTATTTAAATGAAATGAGTTTTATTAGAAACCTTTATAGGTTGCCATATAAAGGTTGCATTTTTTATTAAAAGTTGTGATACAAACGATATTTTTATATTGAACATTTTATAAATTGACGATGTCGAATTTGGGCAAATATAAGTGCAAGCGTTTGGACGGGAAGGTAGCGATAGTTACTGCATCGTCACTCGGGTCAGTCAGCTTAATCCTTCATTGTTTATTATTCTTTACAATTATTACTTAATTTATACATGACTTTTTGCAATCAGTTACAGTGCCATGAACAATTGCATAAAAATATAAATCTCCGTGAACATATCAACAACAGTAATGGATTTAATGTACATTAATGTCTACTGTACTTAAAGCAAAGAAACATTTGCACAAATTTTAAACTTTTTACTTTGTAACAAATTTGGCACTAGGCATTTTTTCACTGTACAATAAAAAGCAAAGCGAAAATATTAAACAGTGCTCAACCATCCTGCTGAATTTTTAATGTTATTTTTCAAATTGTTTTCTGTCAGATAACAACCTCGTGTTATTTAAACTAACTTGAATTCAATTATTTTGTTCGATATTGACTTTCGCACTGATGTTCATTTCTAATTTTTTTTATCTAATGTATATTTCTTCAAAGAATCATTTTGCTCAACGCTGTTTGGTTCAATATCATCTCGCCTATGAAACTAAATGTCGTCATTTCTTATTTTAAAGTTATTTGTTTCAAAATTAAAATTTATTCAAACTGTTGTTTCAATTTTAATCACTGCAATTAGATTACAAAACTAAGAAAACATACTCAAATTGTGTTGTAAGACAAAAATAGTCAACAGATATAATAAAATAAAATTTAGAATATTCTATTCAAATGACAACACCTCTTCATTAGTCCTGTAGAACAGCTACTGCTCTAAATTATTATACCTACCCAGAATGACACATGCATGTTTATTTTCCTAAGCTAAACTATTTATTAACTGTAAAACAAGTGGAATACACTTATAAATCTAAGTGATATAATATTTTGCTCAAAGAATGCAAAGCTGAACACTCAAGTCCAGGTGGATGGAGAGCAAGACTACAGCTTTCAGATGCTATTCACTGAGTGGTTTCATATATGGTTTCAATTCAATGCTTAATTTTTTTCTGGTAGCCCTAATGTTTTCTATTCAATATATGTTCCATGAAGAAAAATTCTAAAGCTCTAGTGAAAAGCTCTAGTTTTACAAACTCGACTTTTACAGCCTTTATATAATTGTCTAGAGAACTAGTATTATATTTCGCAAATAGGAAAATCTATTTAATTCCAATCATCAGGAAACCAATTCTTTTCGGATGATACAGAAATATACTTCACATATATAAAACATATTTTTTGTTTCAATGAATTTATTAATAAAGATTAAATTTGTAAAACCTATTTGTATTATTGATTAGTTAGGTCCCCAATTATACAAAATTCTATTCTTTTTGACAAAATGAATCAGTTTTAAAATTATAGCCTAAACCATACCAACGCGCAGGATCGGATATTGCATTGCTGAGAGGTTGGCGCACGAAGGAGCCAAGGTCGTCATCAGCAGTCGGAAGAAACATCTGGTAGACAAGGCGGTTGAGAAGTTGAGGGAGCAGGGATTGGAAGTTCATGGGACTGTTTGCCACGTTGGCCTTGAAGAAGACAGGGAAAAGTTGTTCAAACTGGTTAATTAATATACAATATAGCTTCATAACATGATGGTAGTTAATATATCTGATATAATATTATATCACTAGCGTCGTTATTTATAAAAACTGCTAGTGAGTATTATGTAAATCATAATTTCAAATCGCTATAATCAAATATCATACAACAACATGCTTAGTCTAGGCTTCTTCATATAATTTCTTAATTATTTATTTTATTGAACCACAATAGGCAACTGATCTCTACGGTGGTTTAGATATTTTGGTTTCAAACGCTGCCATCAACCCAAGCTTTGGGAGTGTCTTCGATGTAAGTAGTTAAGTACCTACAAATTATAAACAGACGATTGCATGCGATGTGGTTAAATTTGAATGACATGGCGCGGCACAATAATTTTTCCTCGGTAATTTCATGTTACCAGATTTCTGTAAACTAAATTATTAATGGTAAAGTTATGTTATAATTGATGTGATATAAATTTCTCTGTGAGTATAAATGTGTACGTTCTGCGTTTATCTATCTTTTTTAATCATTCTTATGTATTTATTTATAGTTAAACATGAAAAATCGGCATTTAATATAAACATTCTGAAAACAAACCACTAAATTCAGAAATTTGAGCAGAAAGTAGCAAAAAAATTGGGAGTTATAATAAGAGCGACAGAGGTTATTATTTCGGTTTTGAGCTTTCCAGAGCACATAAATTAAAACTAAATCAGTAACAATTGTCGTAGGCTTAGATTTCATGCTTGAGTGAATAATTAAATATATGTACGTAAAGTAAGGTATACTAAAGTGAGTACGATCTGGTGACAAGTGTAGTTAAACAGAGAACTGCATACAAGAAGTTTCTCGCCGCCAGATCAATCTACCTACTGTGATAGAGATTTAAAACAGAAAACAAAAGTTAGCAGTTAAAACTTAAGAGAATATTAATTAATAGTTCTATTAATCTTGTTAAAAAATTTACAAATTTTGTTTGAATATTTTTTTTAAATACCACAGACTGAAGAAGAGACTTGGGACAAAGTAAGTGATTCTATTATATTTAAAAATAAAATTTACATTTTTAAAAAAAATTGCAATTCAAGTTATTTATTATATTAGAAAGATATGAAAATATTTTGTCTCAACGTTGATGCTAAACTAATGAAAATGAAACAAAATGGCAGATATTTGAAATAAACGTGAAGGATACATTTCTGCTCTGCAAGGAGGCACTGCCATATTTAGAAAAAAGAAAGTAAATATAAAAAAACAATTCAGTGAAAACATTTTAATTTTTCTATAACCTATTTGCTTGGCGTATGATTGATTAATAGAAAAATTTAAGCAAAAATATTGGTAGGAGATTTCTAAATGACAAAGACAAAAAATATACCCACGAAAGTTTAAACTTATTTCCAGGTGCCTATAAAAAACTGATTATTGTATAAACTCAATTTATTTGTAAACAAAAAAAAATGAATATTTGAAATGAAATGATGTTAAACTTTTTTATTTATTTCATTGTTGCATAAAATAAAAAAAAAATAACGAAATAATCATCATTTCATTGAATGTTTGAATATTTAATGGACTCAAGTTCAATAGCATGAGCGTAATAATAACAATGAAGTATAACAATAACAACAACAAAAATAATAATAACAATAATAATTATTATTATAATTTTATAAAACAATTTAAGGGGCGGCTCCATTGTTATTGTCAGTTCCATCGCTGGCTTCACTCCATTCGAGGTTCAGCTTGCTTATTTTTTCAAATTTGTCATAGACTCGATATTTTAATTTTTTTTCAGTTTCTATTCTTTTAACTATTTTAATTAATAGTTAAAGAATTTTAAAACTTATAACGTCTGACGACTTTCGATTTAGTATCTAGAAATAGTTAAAATCTCAAAAGTCTATTTACTAGGCGCATATATTTACCACCTCAATTAAAATCTTCCAAAGTTCAGAGGATTCAGCAACACACTAAAAACAGTCGCATATGATATACGTGCTAAACGACGCATCACACACGAAGCATGCGATAAGCGGGGATTTATTTTCATATTCGAACCCGGTTACTGCGAAACAGCACCAGGCGACCTTAACCACTAGGCCATCACTGAAGCAGATAAATATATAAAAAAATGCAAGCCTCAAGGTTTTGTTTTGAGAGGTACGATGAAATAAAAATATTTGAAAACAAAAAATTGTTCAATAACTCTTATATAATTTATTAGATGAATAAATTTTCATCAAAATCATTATTCTATTTATTTTAATGCATAACTCAAAAAACAATTTTGTATTTGTTTAAAAAATGTTAAACCGCGTTACCATGTTCCCAGGTGATAGGAGCCTACTCCATAAGCAAGACAGCCTTATTTGGAATGGTGAAGGCTTTCGTCCCTGAACTGACGAAGAGAAACATCAGAATAAATGCCATCGCACCGGGAGTCATTAAAACCAAATTCACCCAGGCAGTAAGTCAAAAATAACAGCACATCCGAAAAATTTCTATTAATATTTCATTGAAATACTCGAAACGAACGGCAATATAAATGATTAGGAATGTTATTAATACACAAAATGTGGCACTAATAGATTTCACAAAAAAAAAATTGAATTTTTTTTATCTTTCTCGATAAACGACCGACATTCCAACAAGTGATGATTTATGAAAGTGACATAGTTATGAACTTTGATCTGTTCACGTTTTAAGTTCACATTATCAGTATGTTGAAATTTTAAAAATTGGTCAAAAATTTTAAAAACTTAAAATTTGTAACATTAAATTCTGTAAAAAGAGCATCAATTTTTTTTTTACCATAGTTTTATCTTCTTCAAGCACAAGCGAATGTCGTTATTTATCTTATTTGAAGTCAACCAATCATTTTAAACAGTTGATCAGTAAATCAGTTGGATTTTAGCCATTGCAGCACTTCCAAGCGTTGACTCATATGAAGTGGCGAAACTAGGAACCCGTTGTGAGCAGTATTGCGCTTCTAAAAGTCAGTAGATAATGGACAAAAATTGACGCGATAAGCAAAAAAAAAGGCGCCAGCATAATTTTGGCCACACTGCATAAATCTTGGCCCTCTCCACGATCGAAATGCAAAGTTTTTTTTAAACATTTTCAAAATGTTGGCCTCTCCCGACAACAAACTTGTCTACTGTCCTTTACTTAACATTAATCTCCTGTCACCATACCAGAACCAGTTTGTGCATTGATACGCAACATGCAGTCGGTTTATAAAAAGTTAATTAAAAGTGGTTTTTTGGAGGACTGACTCCTTTTTTAATGTAACAGTTGATTGTTTGATTATTTTCTGTTTCTAACTTCAGTATTGCTAACAATAAAGTTTTGATGGAAAAACAAATGCAAATAATTACAAACACACTTAATAGATGTGGGAGACCAGAGATATTGAGAAGAGCACAGAAGCCATAATTCCAATGAAACGGTACGATTTACGATTTTGTTGACGATGATATGACGATGTATGTGTGTCTAGATGGTGAGCATATGCTAATGGAACGGATGAACGGTGAAAGTTAAACGAGCCAATAAAAAAGATGATTAATTAGTTTTTATCACTAATTTATCTATTTCAAATTTTATTCTCTCCTGAAAATTATTTAATTAATTTAATAATTAGTTCATTTCAATATTATTCTCTTCGATTCTTTATCGATTCTTGTTTATTCTTTATCGATTTAAAAACATTGTTAGCACCAAACTATCTAAAGTTTGAGTTTTATTGTTAATTTATTTACATTATTTTTTATTATTATATTTAATTTGTTTCACAAATTTCATTTAAACACTAATATAATTAAAATTATTGCTAATATAATTTCTATCATACTAGCACTAGATTATCTAGCATTTGAACTATTATTATTATTGTTAATTTATTTAATTTACTTTTTATCTATATTATTTTTTTATTATTTATATTATTTTATTTAAATTATTTATTATTTCAACGTTGACATCGTCACCGTCACATGATCAGACTGGGCCGGCCAGAGGAATGTTCAGGTGCAGTTGCCTTCCTCGTATCAGATGATGCTTCCTACGTCACTGGCGAGACTATAGTCATCGGTGGAGGTCTCGTCTCCAGACTATAAAAAAAAACATTCGTTAAGTTATTAAAAGTTAAACGGTTATAAATCTTTATTAAATATTCATTAAATATTTGTTAAATCTTAAGTAATTCCTCATTAAATTTTCATTCAATTTGAATTTTAAATAAGTTTGTAATTTGTGTAGTGTTTACATAGTTAATGAAGTTAATGCTGTTAATGAAGTATTTTAATTAATTAATTGTTTATTTATTTATTTGTGTCAGTTATATTCACATTGCACTAGAAATTAAATTAATTTGCTTAGCTGCCTTCAAAATATTTTATTCATTATGTAATGCTTCTTGGCAAAACATATGTAACGGTACTTAACAATGTTAGCAATTTTGAATATTTTTTCACCAATATTTTGATGTATTTTTAACTCATAAAAATTTTAAAAATTATCGAAATATAAATGATAAATTAAAGTAAATTAACTCTTACAAGTGGTCCTTTTGTCGAGATGAAATATGTAGAGGACGACTTTAGTTCAAATCCCATCAATTTAGCATAGAAGCATATCACTGAGCCACAGTGTAGTATATTGTCACGTTTGATCACTTATAAAATGTTAATTATTTGAATTAATTGTGTTGTTTGTGTCAGAAGAAATTTAACTTATGATGAAACAAAACCAACTGATAAACAGTTGAAATCAGTTAATGCAGAATTTTTCATTAGCACTGAACTTTAAATTTAAGTAATTTATAATCATATAATATTAGTGTTGGTATAAAAAGCTTACTGTTTGCAGTTTAACAAGTAATGACTACTTTTTTGAACTGAATCCCTTTAAATTTAAAAATTTTACTAAAACAAAAACTCTGAAAAATTTTTCCAAAACTACAAAATTGTCCTAATCACTTACTTACGTCCTTACAAACGTAAACGTACAAATGCTTGGCGGGTTTCGTTTGGTCTAAACTGGAGTCCCAAGCAGAGAAGATTTTTCCAAAGCGCAACTGCCCGCATCCGCAGAATTCATGTCCGCAACAAGGTGGGCAAACTTTTTGCTGGGAGGGCCGCATTGGGAACTATCCATCCATTCACCGTCCGTTCGTTTGTTCGTTCGTCCGTCCGTTCGTTCATTCATTCATTCATTCAATCTTTCGTTCAAATACAACATTGTCTTTATTGTCTCCTAAATTGTCACAATCTCATCCGCCGACAAAATCAACGTAATTGTTAAATAAAATTTCAGCTCTGCCATCAACAACCAACCGGTGAAATGGTATTCGAATGTTTCCGTACAATTCAATATTTAAATTCTGAACAAATTCCTATATAGCAAAAGAGTTGCTTCAATTTAAATTTATATCCATGATTATGAAACGTATTAAACTTAATGAATTTATTTTTAATTTGGATTTAAATAAAAAAAAGAATTGTAGGTGTGTGTGTGTTTGTTTGTGTGTGTGTGTGTGTGTATGTGTGTGTGTATAGAATAGACGTTTATAACATTGAACTAACTCTCTTTATTCAAATCCACACTGAAAAATCCGCAAGCCGCAAAATCCGCGGAATTTTGAGAACTTTTTATCCGCAACCACGGTTGCGGTGCAGTAACTGCGTTTTGAAACCGCATCGCGGATATCCGCTTGGGGCTCTAATCTAAACCCCACAAGGAGACGTGTCTTTAGATTGTTTCAGCCTTTCCATAAAAATCACACGCTGGATTAACTCTGATTTAATTTTAACTGAAAACTTGTCTTCTAACATTAGCAGTAATTGTTGTCAGTGCAACGTTGTCAGCGTTACGCGCTTTATACCGCAATCATCCACGAACGCCAATGTTCTTCGCGAGAAACTTGATAGAATCGAAAATAGCATACAACACATCATGCAATCCCATCAAAGACACCCAGACTACAAAAGGTTCATTATCCTGTGATTTTCATTGGAGCATGAAATTATCGTGTGTATCGTATAAATAAGTTGGCCCGCTATTAAATTTCATTATTGGCATGCGATTGTTTCGCAAATTATTCTTCAATTGCGTACGTAGATGTTAGACTGTGCGGTCTGGTGGCCAAGTGGTTAAGGTCATCTGGTGCTGTTTTGCAGTGCGTATAAATCCCCACCCATCACACGCTTCGTGCATGATGCGTTGTTTTGCATGTATTCATATACTATGTTTGTGCGTGTTGTTGATTCATCTGAACCTAGGAAAAATATAATAAACCTTTTATAAGATAACATTGTGAAATGTTCTAACACTATTTTTTTAAATTTCGTTTCATCTATTTTTTTGAAAGTTAGATAAGATCTTAAATGCGGTGTTGTCGGCGTTTTTAATTTTGAAAATATTGTTATTACCTATAGTATTATCGCGTTATAACGGTGTAATCGATGCAAACACTAAAACAAGATTTTAAAAGTTATCCGTGTCAGCTACGTTGCAACCTGTGTTACGTTGCAACCTGTGTTACGTTGCAACCTGTGTTACGCTGCAACCTGCGTTTCGATAGGATCTGTGGAATAAATATTGGTGACAGTGTTTGCACCAAGACCCAAACAAATGTTTTATTCAAGTACTGATAATTTCTTCAATAATGCACGTTGCACAAATTTTTTTTTATTTCTTTAATTAAGTGTAAAGTACATCTTGTAAAAATATTTCAATTCATTCTAAAATGTTAATGATCGCCGATGAGTTCGTCTGCTAAACAAAAATTTATTCTCCTTACACAATATGAACAATTTAAAAAAATTTCGATTGATGACAAAAATCTGGTATGATGATTGCATGCAAATACAACTACTATGTGTAACGTAGCACAATGATGCGACCAGATAACGATCAAGTAATGTTAATGAACGTCTGCCCATGAGTGAATAATGTATGATCCGCCATTGTACGTATGTATGGGCTTAAAATTATCATTCAAGAATTTCAATTTTTTAATTTTTCACGTAAATCTAAAAATGAAAATTTTATGTAAGATTTTTTTCATAGGTTTATAAATATTTTAGAAAAAAAAAATGGAAGATTAGATTAAACCGTAAGAAAGCTTGTATATTAATTTAAAGTTGTAAAGATAAAATCTCTGAACAAATAACTATTAATCACATTCTGATTCGGCGTGTCACTACAAGTCAAACAGTTCTGAATGTTAAGGTTTATTGATTTAAAATCTAATTAAATGCAAATAAAAAGAGCGAACGAAAGAACGAACGAAAGAACGAGCGGTTGAACATAAATGAGTCGTGCTCACTTGACCTTAATTAATTAGAAAATTCGTTTTACGAATAAAATTATACGCTCTTAAATGATAATAATAATTAAACGTTCTTCAGATAAATTCTAATGATGCGTCTGATGACATTATCTCTGGAGAATTGAAATCAGGTTATATGGCTATGATGATATGCACGAGAGAGATATATAATCAATATAAGAAAACATGCTAAACAGCTGAACATCCACATTACATATTAATACCTAATTTTTTCGATCAGTGATACTTTACTTGCCAAAATCATTTTACTTTACTCTAACTTATAGTTTTGTAATTCATTCATTTCACTTTTGCTTCTACTTACTTTTGGCGAAATTCCTTCTACTTTTACTTCCATTTTACTTTACTTTTACTTTCCATTATTAAGTTTACAACAGGCGCCAAAACGGTTCAGCACATTGAAAATGAGCATTGCAGATCAATCTCAATGGGTAATGTTAGCGATTTACGTCAAACAATAAGTTGTTTCAAAACTGACTAATAAAATATATCAAAAATTTTATATTTGAATTAGGGCTTCGGCGAATTTCAGCTACTTTTCCAAATTCGACTGAAATCCGGCTCCTGCCAAAATGGAACCAGATTTTGGATTTTAAACGGTTTTCTGTGGCAACTTTGAATATACATATAATATTATATATCTACATATACATTATTATTATGGTTATAATTTGTTCTTGTGTATTATATAGGTATGTATGCACGCATACACATTCATTTCTTCATATGTGACTGAACATGTATGTAATTGTATATTAATCTATAAACTTATTTTATATATGCAAAATGATTTGAAACGAGAAGAATTACGATTGTATCGCTTGGACCATCTGATTGGAGTGACTATCTTAATTATATTTTAATGACTATTGATTTAACCCATAACACCAAAGACGATGGTTGTCAACTTTACTTTTCAAAATATGTTAAAATGAGGGATGCTTGCATGTATGCACAGTACATGTTTGTAAAACATAGCCTATGGGTTTTATTATGGGTTTGTTTCCATGTGTGTCACAAAAGTTTATAAAGAGATCGAGGTATTAATTTAAATATTGTTAAATGTAAGTTAATTTGTTATGTTATTGAGAGGTAGGATGAAAAATTTTTGGCTTCTGATCCAGTCGGTTTTATGATAGCACGTGGTTATTGGTCAGTTTTAAAGCTAATAATTGTATGAGAAACAAGTGGTCCACTAGAAAGTATACATACCCAAAACAACTACAAGGAACAATGAAATATTTGAATTATTTTTATATTTGAGAAATTTGAAATATTTGAAAAAGTTTAACTAAATTTTTTTACAGAAAAATCATTTTACTTCAGTTTTACTTGCATAGAAATCATTCTACTTTTATTTTTAATTTTCAAAATCAATTTACTTAAACTTTCACTTTTACTCAAGTAAAACAAATCATTTTACTTTCGTTTTTACTTTTACTTGAGTAATACATAACTGTTTACGACATTGTTGGTATTGCCACAGATCATTAATCGCTTGGTGAATGATCAGGAATATGCAAATGATGGTCTGTTGAACGATTTTAACTTTCAATTCTTAGAACGAGGTAATATGATGAAACTTATCATTTTGAATCAATATTTTATGTTATTGGAAAAATAAGAAAGCTTATTAAGTGATACATAATTTTTAAAAAATACAAACAACAAAAACAAATGAATATTTAGCATATTTTGTTTCATTGGCACCGCCAGTAGCTTAAATTAGTGAGACATCATCACAAATAAGTCCACGTTATAAACTATTTAACAAAGGATTGAGAGGTAGTCCTACGTTCGACGCGCGAAGGACAGACAAGTGGAGTCATCTTTTAACAAATTCTGGCAATGCTGCTACAAGAATGTAAACAAAGTTTATATATCAGAATTAGAAACGTTTTGTTCTATATTTTATAATGGATTTATTAATAAAATTGTTAATATTCATCAATCGGAGACATTAAGAACATTCCTACTGAAGGCACTTTTTATCGGCAACGTATTACACACACACACACCGAAAGAGAGAAAGAGAGAGAGAGATAATATATATTTATTTATACACTTGTTTGCGTCCGTGTATGTGCACAAATACATATATACTTATATACATAATTTCAGTGCGGTTGAAACTATGTAACGTTCCAAAAACAAGATGTAATAATAACGCTCTATGATTGATTGGTACTGCACGGTGATTATGTTGAATTATGCCTGAATTAGATGCATTATATTTTTATGGCAATCCGAAATGTACGTCACCAATAGAAAAAAACGAAAGATTTAGTTAGCTGCATTTCATCTTGTCCGTTGTATAGATATTTAGATAGATATATAGATAGATATA